GGAATGACACCAGAATGAAAACAGTGTCCCTAAAGCTGGTGTGGCAGGAGGGGGGACTCCTTCTTCATTCTTCTATTAGGAAACAGTTGTCAGCACATTTCTATTTCCAATATCCAGCCCTGCACAAGAGCAGAGGATCCACAGGGTCTTCAGGCTTCACAACACAAACTTCATTACTGTGGAACATTTCCTGCCTCCTAAATGGATTTTAGTTTGCCTGATCAGGTTTAATTTTTATTTATGGCATGAGTTTTCCAGTGAGCTCAAGGCCAGGAAATGGGCACTGTGTGCAATTCCTGGTGCATCCTGTAACAAACCTGTGCTGAGAGCAGAGACTTGTCTCTGCAGTTTGTCACCCTGCAGCAAGAGTGAGGACCAAAATCTGCTCTGATTTTACATTAGCTAAGACTCACAGCCAGTAATAAACCCCTGGTTTTCATGGGTGGGGGATTTGGGACCAACCTTAATAATTAACTTGGTTTATTTACCCCTCTTGTGCATTTCAGTAGGAAAGGGAGGGTTAGGCTGTGTAAGTCCTGCTGCTGTGTCCATCTTCCTACTGGAAAAGGAAGCCTGCCCAGGAGGGGTGAGGAATGGGTGAGGAATGCTGGGAACAGCTCAGCTGCATTCCCAGAGAGGAGGGGACTGAAGCTGTGTTTTCCTCCAGGAAAGGCTCTTCCTGCCCTGAGCCCAAGGAGGAAGCCAAGCTCCCATCACCACTGGAAAAGCTGCTCAGAGCAGAGACAACAACAGCCAAAGCTGCCTCTGAGCTCCCTCTCATGCCTTGGTGATCTCCACTTCCATCACCCCAGGAGAAAACTCCCAGCAACTTGTGGCAATTCAATTTGGGGTTCTCCAAGCCTCACACATTCAAGTCTTGCTTCCCAGCAGAGCTTCTGATTTTTAGTTCACCATGAGCAGACAGATGTGTGTGCATATGCATATAATATATACGGTGTAAATAATCTAAAAATTGAAAAAACCACCCCCAAAACAGTTAAGGGGTAAATACAGCAAAGTTTTCAAGCTCTTGGGCTGTTGACTGACTCGTTCTGAGCAGCAAACATCACTCCCCTTTATCCCCTGCACAACAGAAACTTTCTTCCTGCAGGTAAATGTCAAAGAACAAATAAACATTAGCAATAGCTAAATGTCTTCCTCCTTTTTAAGTATCCCAAGCATTTTTTTATTTGCCTGGATCCAGGTAACAGAGGGAAGGAAGGAGGGAGGGAGAGAAGCTTTTTGCAGAACACTGTTTGCTCTTCTAAGATGGATCATAAACACAAAGTGTTTTAAGGGCACAATCACACCCCAACAATGATAACTTAAAAGCAAAGTTTATAGCTCAAACAATGCAAGTAAATATTTTGACATTTGCTCATTTGTTTGATTCCTGCTCAAATAGTTTCCTGTTCCCAGTAGACTGGGATTTCCTTAGGAGTAGCTGGAAAAAACCCTATTTATAGTGGACCTCTGAGAAGAGACAGCAAAGTGTCAGCTCAGAGGAGCACTTTCCACAGGGCACAAGAGTGCATGGCTGAGGAAAAGCTCAAAGAAAGGAAAAAATGGGGGATAAATGGATGTATTTATCAGGGGGTGACAGCTGGCTCGTGGCATCATTATGGATGGACTGATTTTGAAAACCTCCACTCAGCCTGGTGAGGATACACAGCCTGAGCTCCTCACAGCCCATCCTGCTGCCCTGCCAAGCACAGTGACTGCCCTGCTGCAACAGCCAAAGGAAAAATGCTCAGAGCTTGAGGAAAGCAGGCAGACTCCACAACAGAGGTGGTTTTCTAAGCCTGAATTTACATAAAATTGTGTGTGCTGTGGCACACGTGCACAGATGTGCTTTACATTTGTATCTACAAAACACAAACAGCCCAAGAGCTTTCTTATGCTGAAGGCCTGGGGAGTTGAGATTACAGCAAGTCTGCAAACTCAGCAATGCATGAAAAAATATTTATAGCTTTTTTTATCACATTATATCATTGTGGGTAGAGAAAGATGCCCCATACCATCAGCTGGAGTTCAAGGTGCTGCCTCTGGGTCAAATTCCAATTTCAGAGCTTCCCAGACACCCTGGCTCCATCCTAGAGCAAGGGCCAACACAGCACCTCAGCTCCAAGAGGCTTCCAGGTGATGCTCCATAAATCATGGAATGGTTTGGGCTGGAAGGGACCTCAAAGCTCATCCAGTTCCACCCCCTTCCAGCAGGCCAGGCTGCTCAGAGCCCCGCACAGGAGCCTGGGCTGGCTCAGACCCTGCCAGCTCATGTGAACACATTCAGGTTCCTCAGGTGGTCACAAACCTGTCCCCTATGACAGGGAGGATTTCATTCCCCCAAGTCCCTGCCTGGAGCTTTGGAGGCTTGAGAGATGTGGGAAGAGAAGCTACCATCAAAAACTGAGGCACAATTGTTGAGTACAAACCTACACAAACAAAAGCACACTTTGTACAAACCTTTGCACAGCACACTTTGTCTGCCAGCTCAAGGAGCCTCACATCAGTGAAGACAACTCCAATGCCAGGGCCTGACTTTCACCCAAATTCCTTCCGCAGAATGATAAGATAACAGAAATCTTTACGTAATCAAAGCCATGAGATGGTTTCTCCTTCATCTGCACATGTTCTCCCAGACTTAACTCCTTGCTTGCAGGGTTGGGAGCACTGCTCAGAAATGCTCTTTGCAAGGGCATCCTGTGGGAAAGGCTCCCAGGGAACATCCAACAGTGCCACTGGCTGGATTTGGGGGGATTTCCCCAGTGCCCAGACACACCTGTGGGTCACTGCACTGCAGGGAAAGAGAAGCAATGACATTCAACATCATTTCAGTAATTCAAATAAACATCTCGTAATCTGGGTAAAGCAGGAATATTGCTAGGTGACAGACACTGACAACAACAGAGGAAAAACAAAATTCCCCATTCTGCATCAATCCCAGGCTGCTCACCCAACAATTTTAATCAAACATCCTCTAAAGAAAGGCAAAGTTTTCTGAAGACGTGAGAGGGAGCCATGCAATCCCTGCAGCAAGAACTGCACGTGGATCAATCAGGTGGTGAAGCTGCTGTGCAAGAGCAGGACCGGCATCTGCTCATCTCCAGCCACAGCACGAGATGTGGGGTCAGCACAAGGGAAGGTGAGAATAAAGGGGATGCACACTGGGGATTTTCTGTGTATCATGGAATGCTTTGGGTTGGAAGGGAAGGGACTTCTAAAAGTCACCCAGTTCATGAGCAGGGACAGCTTCAAACACATCAGGCTGAAATCTTGCCTGTTTCCAGGGATGGATCCACCACCTCTCTGGGAAATCTGTGCCAGTGTCTCATCATCTTCACTGTAAGAATTTTCTTCCTTGTATCTAATTTAGGTCAACTCTCTTTTAGTTTACAACCATCACTCCTTGTCCTACTGCAACAGGCCCTGCTAAAAGGTTTGTCTCTGTACATTCAACCCTGATTATTTCACTCACAATAATCTCTGAGGTTCTTACTTGGCACAACATTAGAATAATTAATTTTAAAATTAAACTTCAGAAGGTGTCACTGAACTGGTTTTCTATTTCAGTCTGAAGTCAGGAAAATCCCCAGCTAACCCTGAACTATCTTTAGTAAATAATTTTATAAAAACATTTCCATTGATCCCAATGCCATCCAAGGCATTGGACTGATACATATAAAACAGAGCTAAGATTTTATTTTTATGCAGTTACCTAATCTGAATAAATTAAATGCTTTTGAAACTAAGCAAGATGCTGAGAAAAGGAAGCTGACCCTAGTCTGAACCTCAATTAGATGCTTAATTTGCTATTAGAATTTGTAAGGCATTGTTTGAGGAAATGGAGACTGACCAGGGGATATGGTCATGCTGGTGTAGGAGATGTTCCTGGAGGAGCTCAGAGTTACAAACCTGATCAATGAACATTTCCATGAATTTCATGTGGAAAGAAAACTATATGAAAAAAATCACATAAGACTTGAATCAAAGACCTGGAATTCCTGTCCAAACCACAGCCCAGAATACATCACAAACCCTTCAAAACATCATTTCCAAAGAACAAAGTGGATGTCAAGAGGCAGACACTGACTCTAAATTACAACACTTTATTGCAGCATTGGCAAAGGTCAGATTTCTGAAGCTGGTGAAGATCGGGCGGCATTTCTGTATGAAATGTTACAATTTTACAAGTCTCTCTTCCTACATGCAGAAACCAAAACCAGTGGTAAAAAGGATTTTAAAAGAGCTAGAAAAAAGAATTAGTAACATACAGATGGGCTCTTGAACTCAATGAACTACCTCTACCTGAAAGCAAACAAAACCCTACGCTAATAAATAACAGATTGTCAGAAACAGACCAAGAAACCTCATTTCTACTTAGAAAAAAATAAAAATTCTACTTGTTTCCAGACTTAAATCTTTTTTTTTAAACTTTTTGTTTGTTTCAATAGACACAGAGGCTTATCAACCCATGAAGATCAACAAAATATTTGGATCCACTCCTTGACATCCTCCTGTTATGCTGACTGGCACGTTTTGGTTTTCAATGATACATACAATGGGCTCAACTATATCCCTGTCCTTAGGCTGGTGTCAGGCTGTTCCAAGCAGTACGAGTCAACACCCCGTGTTCATCAACTTCACTTTCTATTTTAAACCTTAACAGACATTTTACCTCCTTGGCTCTTCAGTTTTGCACCCCTCCCCACCCCCTTTCTGGCACATCTGGCAGCAAAAGGCTCTTCCTTAACCAAGAACATTCTGGCTGAGGAGCGTTTGAGAAGTTATCCTGCTCGGCAGGGTTTTCTTCTGCATTTCGCTGTTTGCTCTATGTGTTTGTACCGCAGATTTGCAGCCCCCACAGAACATCCTTCCAACACACCAAGTGCTCGAGTGGGAGACAAGGGAACTGTGGCGAGTTCAGAGCTTTATTTCCCTGCAGGCTGAGCTGCCAGAGGCCCTTCCCCCTGCAGTGCCAGCGGCCCAACTCCTGGAGCTGCTCGCAGGTCAAGTTCCCCATCGCGCTCATTCGCTTCTGCTCCTGTGAGAAGAATTAACCCTCAAGGCGGTTCCCATAACAAAAAGCTTTTTTTGGGGGGGTGGAGGGGGAGAGGGGAGGCTGCTCTTCGTGCCCCACGGCCCCAGCCTGTCCCAGGTTTCGGTTCTGAACGCTCTAGGCTGACATGCTGAGATGTGTCCACTGCTCTCGTTTCATCGCTGGAGGACTCCACAACACCAGAGATACAGGACCTAATGAAATGACACTGGCGGCTGGATCAACGTCTCCTGAGGGAAGAGCACAGACAGGAATCACATCAGCCTCATCTGAGGGGCCCCAACAGCAGCTGCCACTCATGCTGATTCTTTTTTACCCTCAAAGTTACAGATTTCCCTCTTCTGCACAACCATTTCACCAGACAAAAGCAGGGGGATAATCTGCGTGTGATAGATGAGTAATGCAATGATTGACTCTCACAATTAACAGACAAATATCATGGATGCAGGTTGAGAAAAGTTTTATAGATTTATAGTTATGTTGTACCCCTCACATGGGGGTCACCTGGCTTGTCACTATGGAACACCCGACTCCAGTCAGGGTTTGAGGAAGAAATCACCCCTGGACAGCAACAAAGGAGCTGATGTGCAGAACTCTGGGAGGGGTTAAAGGGTTAAAAAGGGAGAACTTCCATTGTGAGGGGGCTGAGCACATGGCAGAGAAAATCTTTTGCTCCCTTTTTTCTCTATTCAGTCCTCTGTTGTGTTTTTGATAAGGTTTAATAAACCTTCCTAAACTATGAAAAGTGAGGAGCTGTCCCTCACATGCATCTTATCAGCACAGATGAGATGCTGAACTACTGAAGCACAGTTGTGAATTTGCTGGAAAACAAAGTTATTGTGAATAGTTTTCATCTTTCTGTGCAGTTTCTTAATGCTTAGAAGTTCTGCAGAAATGTTACAAAGGGCTTTCTAGAGGCAAATAATTGGTTAGAACCTTTCTTAGAGTCAATTGGTGCATTTAAATCTTCCACCATCTCTTGCTCATGAAACACATCCCAAAATGTGACCAAAAGTCACATTTAATTCTCTTAAGAACATGCAAATAGCAGAATGACATTGAAGAATGACACCAGTTTCTAGGCAGGGGATTCAACAAGGCCAGGGCAATGCAGCAGTAAGGCCACCCCAGTGTCACTGACTTCAGCACAATGCAGTTACTGCATCTGGGCTCCTTTTAGCTGATTTTAGGCTGCAAATTAAAATTAGTAACAGACATCAAAATATTTCAACATTTACAATTCCAAGAAAGCTCCATGGAGATTTTTTTACCATGCAACCACAACAGTTCATATTTCTTTACATCAGTGCATAATCTTCCAGTATTTGTTCAACAGTCATTTGATCTAAACCTGGTTCTCACTGAAGATCTTGCAAGAAAAGTGTTACAGATATGTTATCTGGACATACCAACTTCTGCACCTCTTGTACCAGATGAAGCTTTCACACTAATTCTGTATTTGTGTGCATTGCTTTGTTCTATTATCCAGTATTTGTTTATATAAAAATGCTGTGTAATTTTGCCAGTAAGTCCTGAGCTGGTGCATCATTAGACCTCACTGCAGCACTGCTTCCATTATTTGGTTTTAACCACCTGTGAGTGTTACATAATGTAATATCCCAATTCTTTGTGGCATACTCAGCATCAGAACAGTGGCTGTGTGCTTTCAGTAGAAAAGTTTGATTTTTATTTATTTAGTAGACTGACATCTCCCTTGCAGAAGGTCACAACTGAGGGCAGACATCACTGAATTGCAGGATCATGCTTTTAACTCTCCATCTCCTCTTAGAAAAATAATTCTACTGCAGCTACCAGTGCACATCTGCTGGTGGCAGATCCTGTGTCAGGGGATCACAGCAATGTGCTGTGCCAAAAATAGCAGCAGGAGTTTTTCCCAAACCAGGTATTTCACATTTGTGTCCAACGCAGTAAACTTGATCCAAACCTGTATATGGCAAGGCCAAACTCAGCACACAGATGTAATTAAAACCATCTTGAGCTGTATGTGTAAAAGGAATCAATTCTTGGCAGTCTCCTCCCAGTCCCTTCCTGCCACTGCCACATTGTGAATGTGTATGAAATTCACAGTCAGCTTCTCACTGCCTGCAGTGGCAGGAAACACACAGAACCTCTGCCACAAACCAGGGCTGGGGCACGAAGCTGGCAGCCAGGAAAACACAGAAAATGACACCACAGGCTATGGAATAACCACAGAGCCATGGCACAGGTGAAGCTGGGAGAGCTCACTCAGCAGGACAAATTCACAGCTTAAACTGAGCAGTGCCCAGCAGAATATCAATAACCAGCTCCTTTCTGAATGTGCTGACATCACTAGATCACCAAAATCTCTTGATTTCTTGACATGTGAGACCTCTGAAGTTGGATTTCACACTTATCCCTAATCCCCTCATGTCCTCCAATCCACAACACTGCATTTCTGCAGTGCTGCATTTCTTCACAAATTTCCAGCTCCAAACACCTCCTCTCCCAGTTCACTCTGCTTTGCTTTTCTCAACTAATCTCAGCTTCCACGCTTTGTTCTCTCTCCCCTAATCACCCAAAACCACGAGCAAGAAACAGAAAACACCAAGGTGCCCATTAAAAGCCTATCACATCTGACTTATCACATTCCATACTGTGAACATCAAAAGTCAAATAAACCACACAAGCTGGACCCCCCTAAGTAAGAGAATCTTAACTTCTGTGAGTTATTTTATATTCTTATCTATCCATCAAAAATAAAATGCTCTGACAAAGTGAAATCAAAGTCAGTGTGTACAGTGGAAAGTTTTTGGAGCTGCAGGGATTTTTGGTAGGTAGTTGTTGTTATTATTTATATTGAAAGAACCGTTTCAAACACAGGAGTCTTTCTAACTGAGATGGTTTATAAATACAATTTTGCCTTCCATTCCCTCTGAACTGAACTGTGATCAGGGCTCTGGGTTAGACTCTCACCCTGCTTGCAGAGCTCAACATTCACCATCCTGCCAAGGCAGGCACCTGAGGCTTTGCTGTTCTTTGCTGCTCAGCTCCAGTGCAGTCCAGAAGGAGCTGCAGGATTTGGAGCCCCTCTCCCATATTCCTCCCTTTGCTTCCCTCCCATGAAACAGCTGAAAATTTGGGGTTTGGAATTTCCTAGCTGTGTTTGAAAGGCTCATCTCAGTAAGAAGAGAATTCAAAGCTTCATAAAGCAGAACTGTCAATGTATTAACTCATGACAGGTGATGTATGAATTGTGTTGCTCCAGCAGCTGAAACAGGAAATCATGTTAAATTCACATTTCTCCTTATTATCCAAACTCTGATTTTTCAGCATTAATGCAATATTCTTTATGATGAGAATATTTAGCTAATAAAATCCCAGCATCCTGTTATTACTGTAATGCTTCATTTTTCTTTATTAAATGGGTTAAAGAGAAATAAGAGTCAGATGAAAACAGGAGACCTGAGATCACAATTTAACTTGAATATGATTTGGTTTGCCAGCCTGTACCTGCATCCCTAAGGGAACTTTGGACACAGGCAGGCCCTATACTGCATTTTGAAAACAGCAACAAATTTTGAAGCTAGTTCTTTTAATAAGGAGAGGTTTAACAGGATAAAATCCTTGGTAAAGCCCTGCTTCTCAACAGAAGAATTACAGGGAGAAATTTGACTTTCTTGGTAATCAATGTTTTTAAAATTATTTTATATAATGTGGTTATTTTCATTTCACTTCTAAAACCAAGCCATTTAATGGATCTCAATCCTCTTAAACAAAAAAAAAAAACAACTTTATATTTTAAGAAGCTGTTCCTAATGGTACCAGTCAATTTTTATGATAATCCCATCACAAAAAAAATTACTTTAGTAAATTTTGTGTTTCTTGAAGGTAGCAGTTTAATAGCCTGAGAGCCAAAGGCCTCTCTTACCACAAAATGCTACAGAACCAGAGGCAAGAGAGAAAATTGTTTTCTTCCCAGTGCTGCTGAAGCAAATCAAGGAACTCTACTTTTCATGGAGTCACAGTAAATTATCTTTAAGACCAGCCAGCCTTAAATGTACAAGTTCCAGAAAGAATCTCCTCCTTACAGGACCAGCAGGTCTTAAAACCTGAGGCAATACGAGCAGGCAATTCCAAACAAACAGAAACAAACTCCAATTTTTGATCCAGCATTTTGCACATGCTAAATAATAATAAATCTGACAAAGCTTGCAAATCTCACTGCATTTACTTTAGTGCAGGACAAGGACATTAACAGAGGAGAAATACAGTAAAAACTGCAGAAGATTTCTCTTTTTTTAAAAAACATATAGAGGGCAAATTGCTTAGTGAGATCCAGGTGTTTGAGGCCAAAAACACGGAAGAAGCCAATGCTCCCTTCATTAATTTCTGAAATGAACTGCTACAATAGGTACATTTGGATTTAACTTCCTAAAAGTGTTTGAAACACAGTGCTTAAGGCATGTTCAACAACACAAAAGCAAAGGTAAAAACAACAAATCAATTTTTCTACTCTCAGCACTGCCTGAAATGCAAGAAAGGCCTCATTCCTACCTCAGCTATCAGAACCGGTCACATTGTACATTACAGTGCAATCAACCAGGAGATTTATTTGCTTAGATTATCCCTAACCTCAAGAATTTTAAAATAATAAGTTGTATACCTTAAGGAAAGCAGCAAATTATTATTGCCAGTAAGTTTGAGTTATTTTGCAAGAAAATAACATTTCAGTTGTGTTCATGTGCAAACACAACACAACACAGTGTCCTCATGGAAGTGACAACATCTGTGTTACACCATTGGTTGCACCAGGCAGGAATGTGAAACCTTCTCTACACAGATATTAAAATTTACAGCTCAGTTCCTATCTGCTCAGGGAGACCCTCCAGAATCCAGAATTTACAGGGTAACTTTTTAACAAAGCATAAGGGCAAAGACTGCAGTGCAACTGTAAAGTCAGAAGACAATTTTCAATATATCCTACAAAGCAGAGGCTCTAAGGATGTAGGCAACAGACAACCTGTGCCAGTGGGAAGCCATTGGTGGACCCACAGTCTCCAAGAAATAAATGGAGTCAGGAAAAGTACCAGTTCCTTATGCAGGCTGAGGTGGCTCAACTGATGCATGACTGCCAGGCAGAGCACTGCAGTACAAACAAATAAAATATACCTGCTCAACAAATAAAATATACCTGCTCAAAACAAACTTCCTGCTCTCTGTTCCAAGCAGCTTATGGATTAAAAGGAACCAAGAGGAAACTCCATAATAGAAAACTACATCAGAACTGCAAGTGCATGAGTCTTGAATAAGCAAACACAACTCAAACTGTTTGCTGGATAACATCTGACCTACTTGAGTCAAGTCCTAAATTATATTGTCCCTACAAGGTCAGAATATACAAAGTTTTCTAAAGAAAATAATTTAAAAGAAATCTACTGAAATCTACTAAAAGAAATGTAAGAAATCTACTGAAATCTACTAAAAGAAATTAAAAGGTATCACATCTACTGCTCTGGCTGCTGTATTTAAAGAATAACTGCAGCATGCAGCTCATGCCTGAAAGAGCAGAATGCTGCAGCTGTTAATGAAACACCTGCAAATACTGTGGCAATTCAGTGTACCTGAACACTCTGTATTCCTACAACAGCATTAGGTCACAGTGATATGAAAAAGCTAAATGGAAAGCACTGCTCATTTTAGTGAGTTTCATCTGGTTCATTTTCAAAAAAACATTTCTTTTAAACTGCAATCTTTTAAAATTTTTTTTGTACAAGCAGTGTCTGTATGAGGTCTCAATGGAGTGAATGATCATGAGGACATTATCAAATGATCATAAATATGTACCATGAAGGAGCTGGAAATGCTACTGGAACACAAATAGTACATTACATTAACTTATTTGCAGTTTACAAAGAGACCCATTAGAAGGTAAAATGTCCCTTCCCAGCTGCTGCTCCTATCAATCCACCTTCCAAATGAACTTGCAAAGAAAACAGAAACTTGAAAGCAAGTCTGCATTTCACCAAAACTCTGCCTGTTCAAATGTGTGCTGCAGGGCTAATTTAATGTTCATTTGCCAGCTTCCCCTGAGTGAGAAAAGACACACAGTAAAGCCTCAGAACAGCTATTAAGCAATCAGGAATGACTCTTTTCATGTTAATGCTGGTTTTGGCAAGCTCTTGAAGATAACAGATTAATAGCCATAAATTGAAAATTCTGCTCCCTCTTCCCCACCTTTACTATATTTACTTTCCATTCAGGGCATCAAATACAGAAGAATAGGTGTCAAAATCACCCCACAGAAAGAACATGAGAATTTCTACAAATACTAAAAAAAACCAATCCTCTCCCCCTCTCATGGAGAAAACAGACATGCATCTTTTGCCCCACAAATAGAGGCTCAGATTTCAGCATCTTTTGCCCCACAAATAGAGGCTCAGATTCCAGCAGCCGTTTCACAACTGAAAAATAATCTTTTGGCTTCCAAATGTCACAGAGGTACAGACACTGTGTCAGAAACACAAAACATTGCTTGGCATTTTAAGAGAATGCTTTAGAATGGAAACGACTGCCCAAGCACTCACTACAGAGATCATTATCTCTTTCAATTATGAAGATAATGACTTGCCTAGAACCAGAATTACCACATTTAAAGGAAGATTGTCCTACCTCCCACCGGTTTTAAAGATTAGATCTGCATTAGGTGCTCCCTTCGGATGCTGGTAACGAGGCCGCCGCTCACGATTGGTGTTTGCTGGAGCTGGACGCTGAGCCAGAGACTGCAACATTTCTGGGATTGCAGGCACAAGGAAAGGAAATAGAAGAAAGTTCAATACATTTTCTGTGATTCATTTTTACATAGGAATTTACACATGCACATCTCACTGCTATTTACACTTACACTTTGCTGTAGAGTTAACACTCAATAAGTTAATTACAAAAAGTTACAAATTGCACCCACAGCTTTGATAAACCCAAGCTACCCCACGATATGAACTTGCATTTCCAGATGTTCCTGCAGAAGGAACTGCCAGCAAGGGTTTTCATCACAGATGCTCAAGGTTGCACACCTGCAACCTTTTCTTTCTGAACACATCAGGCACCACTTTCTTCATCAATGATCAGGAACAAAGACTCACAGCAGCACGAGTGGCCTCCAGATTAAACCTGCCTGGAATAGCAACAACTGGACAATGCTGCTGCCAATTAAAGACTCAGCAAGAAACCTGTCCTAAAATTAGGCATTGCCAGTCAGGTATTGAAGTCTAAGCCTGGCATAATTGGATCATTTTCCAGGGAAGACAGGCACCTGAAGAAGGTGACTCAGCTGACCTACATTGCACCAGCTGTCCCACGGGTGGAGTTTTTCACTTTATCATCAGTGGGAATAAAAAAGAAAAGTGCAGAAGTGAAGCTCACACTGCCCAGTTTAGCCCTGGACAGCCAATTTATGGGCATTTTAAACTAGGACAGTATTGTATTTTGCCATTTGGTAAAACTTAATATCTAAAACTTTATTTCATTTTTTAATGATAAAAAATTGTTTCTTTACCAGGCTAAGTTAATGCTTATTAATTAGCCAGTATAATTACAGATACATCATAGGAAATAACCTCTGCCAATCTGTTAATACATCTAATGGAAAGTATTCCACCTACAGTCCACCTGAGCAGGGATCTACATTACTCAGCAAACAGACAGATGGGATAAATGAAGGGGAAAAGTGGAATAAGCTGTTAAACAGATTATGTTTGAAAGTCTGCTCTGTCTGGTTCTCCAATCTCTGGTAATCTCATTGGGGGACACACCCATCACCTGCTGCACACACACTGCTCTCAGTGGGGCTGAACTAGAGACTCTGATGAGGCTCCCTCAGCATTTACAGAATGCAGGTGGAACATTCAGCGAAGTTATCCAGGCAGTCTTGAAGAAACTGGGAAACTGTGACTGGTTCAACATCTGTGCCAACAGTCAGTGAGCTCTGTATGCATGTTGTGTACACTGAATTCAGCACCCTGACAGCCCATGTTTGTAAACATGGAACATCACCTTCCCCCCAGCCCCGTGTGCCAGCAGAGAGCCCTGGGGGCAAGGAGGGACTCGGGAGGAAAAACAAGGAGGGAACCCTGCCAGGCAGGGGGGAGCAGCAAGCACTGAATGAACAGGCACATGCACATCTGCCTCTTCTGCCTGCCACAGCAGGGGAAAGGAAATGTGGGGCTGGGAAGTTCAGAACTGGAGAATGTAACAGAAGGCAGAGATGGCAGGGGAGCACAGTGTGTTTTCCACCAAACCTCTTTGGTTTTCTAGTGAAGAAAAAAAATAATCTGCACAGAAAAATACCAGTCTAAATTGGAGAACCACCCAAGTTCCTAATAATTCTTTAAATTAAAAAATCTTTGTAATATACTAAGCCTTGCTGAAACATTAAATCTTTATCTGATACTACTTTGAAGTACATTGGTGAATTTCCATCTGTGAGCTACCCTGTGCAGATGAAAAGAACAACAAGTACATGTGCAAAGGTTGGGACAACCCTGAGGCATCCTTCCAGAAACTGAGAATTCTTTCTCCCTCAGTAACTTCAAAGCTGCAAACAGAAATTTAAACCCAACACTTTCATTCAATGAGTAGGTACCAACTTGTCACAGACAGGATGACTCTTCAGAAGTAACAATCAACTGCAAAAATCTAAATAAAATATTGTTCCAAAGGTGAATGTAATTTGGCCTGTTTAATTTAGCCTGATTGAAAGGTCCTTTTTAGTTTGGTCTTATTCTGTATATTACCCAGGTTAAGATGCATCAACAGCTGTTTTAAAAAGGGATGCCAATTATGGAAAAATCTTTTGCTTTTGTGTTGACTTCCCTCCTGTATTGTTTTATACACAGCAACTAAATAAAAACCCATGAGAAAATTTTAAAAAAGCCTATTTCCAGTTATCAGTTTGTATCAGTTTTCTGATTTTGTCAACAGAAATAAATCAATGTGATCCTTTTTTGGATATAAAGTACCATTGTTCACAGTAAAGTCCCAATGAGATTAAACAGGTTCATTTTAGATATCAACAAAGTTATACAACAGTATAAAACCCAAATGCCTTGACCAGTACAAGTATTAGAAGTCTCTAATGAGGAAAAACCCAGAACAAGTCTGAGAGAAGCACTAAAATGTCTAATTCTAGAGTCTCCCTCCACCTTTTTAACAAGTGGGCTTCCTAAGGGCAGTGTCTCAGGAAAGTTTCTGCTAATTATCATATTTTACACTAAGAATATATTGTGTTACCACTTCAGAGCTCTGCAGACACTCACTTTGGAAGATACTCCTTTTACAATTACAAGTTTAGTTCTGGTACTACAGAAGTTCTGCAAGAAGTACTGGATTCCATAGTGTTTTAAAATTAAAACTGCTTTAATTTCCCACTTCTTGATGAACAATGACCTTTCACTAAATGCATTAAATGAGATTTCCTGCTAATTAACTACTTACACTGTGATTACCACCAGACTACAACACCTTTACAAAAAGAAGCAGAGCAAAAACTTCTAAGATATTAAATGGAAACAGTAACATAAGACATCAGCTTTATTGGTCTGGCTTTATTTACTATCTGAGTAAGCAGAGGGAAGTGGAATCTGAAGAAAAGCACAACCCAAAACAAACCACCCAACAACTAAACACATGAGGTGCACCTGTCTGGGGACTGCAGGATCTGCTGTATTAACTGTTTGCCTGATTTGCCTGTCTTCAATACATAAATTAATCATGTAATCTGTACAAAACCCTCACTTTGTTAATATATGCTTATGCTCCAGATTTGAGGACTCCTAGAACCTTTACACTGAAGCTGAGGTAATATTTTTTATTTCTCTGGTGAAGGCTACCTCGGGACTTGCAAGACTAAGGAGTCCAAATATTACTGATATCTAAAACAACTATTAATAGTTTATAAGCAGAGCTTAAATTGCACAGAATTCATCTTGTATCCAACTCAATTGCCTTGCAGTAAACATCACATTGATTTTGCATTACCTTAATTTTAAAGAACAAGCTCAGTTCTTCCCCTTTCCCAGAATAAATGAAAATGCTGAAATTTGAGACCCATTTGAAAACTCCTTTTCAGGGAACAGCTACAAAAACTTCTTCAAGTATAAAGACCAGGGAGGAAACAATAAATGACTAAAACTAAAATACAGGTTTCCCATAAGTACTGCAAATCAATATTTAGAACTTCAGCTGCTAATCATCACAAATAATGCTTTCTGCAGATCCACAGAGGCTCTCCTGAGAACAAAAACTAAATCCTTGGTGATATTCTTACCCTGATAGTCCTCTTGTTCCTGCCGTTCATTGATATCCAAAGTGAGCTTTTTCATCCTCATTCTCTCCTCCTGTTCTGCTTGCTGCTGGTTCCAATGGTTTGCAGCAAGTTGGGAAGACATTGGTACATTTAGGATCTTAAACTGCAAATGAAAGGAAGTTTTTAAGTGCTCATCAGAGAAAAAAAACTCAACCAGTACAAAACAATCCAAAATACAGAAATGCTATGGTTATTTCTAGGTTATTTCAATAAGGTACTCTCTACAGAAGTTTCTAGTGTGAAGTGTGGTGTTGGTTTGTTTTGAACTTCTGTTTCACATAAAGGAGTAAGAGAAAATGCAAGAGCTGCTAAAGATACAGAACACACAAAAAAGGCTGAGTTCAAAACCTATAACACACAAAACTGACTGTCTTTCCCTAGGAAGGCACAGCCATATGCTTTATTTCTTGTTTTCATAACAGCTGATTTGCTCACAGGGAACTGCCCTGGTCTTGAGGTAACAGCAGCGCAGCTGGGTGAGAAAGCTGCATCTCCCTCCTCAGGTCTCTTCCTTCAAAGAGATGAAGCCCCCTGAGCAGAATATCTACTACTACCCCTTGTGATAACAGAGGAAAAACACTTCAAGCATTTCACACATTTCCTGGAATTCTCTGGCCAGTACATTTCTTTTTAAGAATAATTCTCCCCAGTGCTTCTTCTTAGTCTAGAGACAACCATGGTGTCAGATTGATCTTTTCCTCCTCCCCCATACTCACATGTGCCCACCACACATTCTGATTTAAACCCATTATCTGATTTGCCATAAGGTACACCAGGTGAGCTTGGCACTCCCACAGAAGTACCCTCTCTCTGGAAATCCAGCTGATATTCTCAGGAAGGTGTAGGGAAGGTGATCTCTTTTTCCCCAGAAAATCCAATTTGTTACTTCTGGATATCTATTTTTTTGCAATTGTTCCAGAACGGAGAAATAATTCTTAATCTTATCCACAACTGAAACAACAGTTCTAAGAAAATCCTTAATGCTAAAGTTTGCAAACATTTAGAACAATCTCTCTTCCTCCTTCAACCACACATCCATTAGAAATAAGTATTTCTATGCCATAAGAAGGGTAATGCATTGAAGGATAATCACTCTCAATATTCCATGAACTACTCTGAATCCTGCTCCTTGTTACTCCTCATGGGAGATCTATTCCCAAAGAAACAGGAGTAAATTCCTAACTGTTCTTTTCTGTTACACTGTCAAAAGCTGCAGAGAGAGATAAATTATCAAAACCTCTGCTGAGAAGATTTAGAGTAAAGACAAAATCATCACCACCTGGGGTTGGTATTTAATGCAATAATCACTAAAGAGTCTCAAGGTATCTCAGAGAGCAAAGCCCCACTGGCAGCAGTGATGAGTGTGAGAAGACTCAGATGAAGCACTGGAAAATAAACTGCCTTTGAAACAGTACAGACAGACTCTTGTAAAGATCTGAGAAAAACTTGGGTACAGTAAATCCCTAAACCCTACCAACTACAAGATGTATTTAGATGAGATTTTCTGGGGGTTGGGATGAGGGTAATAGCATATTATATTGAATATAAATATGAGCTTGTTATTAAGGTGTGCAGAGGAACAAAAATGGAAGCTGAAATTCCAAGAGCAGAGTAAGCTCTGGTTACTTATTGCTGAGCAGGCTGTGCAGGTTCCCAGATATCATCAACTGAACTTCAGGTAAACTACACAAATAACTAATCCATTAGCAGCATTTCATGATAAAAATCATTCCTCAGCTTCACCATTAAGCTCCTCATCCATTTTAATGCGGCCTTTATATGTTCTCTGTTCCATAGATTTATCAGCTAAATGGGATTGGTGTTTTCAGACAGGATGCTTAAAGTAGAAAAAGAAAACTGAACTATAGAAGGGTGAAAATGAGAGAAACAGATCCAGAAAAACAACAGCCTGGCAATGAACAAAACACCACTGAGTCACTATCTCAAGGCAATCAGCTGCCACCTGAAATCAAGTCACTGATGACAATTACTACAGGATATGATGATTACTGAACAACTGAAACATTTCCCATTTGTAAATAGTGAAAAGGTGTATCAAAAACTTCTTCTAAAATCTGTGAGATGGGGGCAGGATGGAGGATTTCACTTTAAGGATGTCAAACTGAAGAAAGATCAAAAATCATTACTCAGAAGACCAGACCACAGATTTTACAAAAATGCCATGAGATAAAGACATGAAGATATAAATGATATAAAAAAAATCACATTCAGGGAGAGATTTGACCATTCCATGCATATTATCATTCTTTTATGAAGCCTTGCTAAAAATCTTTCAAAGGGAAGGTAATCTTTTGTCTTAGGCAGTAACCAAATTTCTTGACTTTCTTTTTACTGTCTGTATCTCATTTCAGTTCATACCTACTTGGCATAAAACTTCTGATTCAGAAACACCAAATGATATTAGATACAGCTCAGCTCTGATCCCTTATGATCCCAACTTTATTTCCCCTTGCTCTGTCATGGACCATGGATAAATCACAATGCCACCATCTTAATTTCAAATAACCATGTTAGGTTCTACGGCTACTAAGTAGAGGATAAGGTTTGAGTTTCTAAGTTTTGAGGATAAAATATGGTGTCTTGTCACTATCAGCCTGCAATGATCATTAATTTGGATTTATGCAGCTGGTAAATACCAATCAGTTGCTCTTGTATTACTTTAAAAAATCTACTTGTCAATGCTGCACTAAAATCTGGGTGGACACTGACATGTCAACTGAGTATTTGGCAATGGGACCTCCACTACCAAATGTTACCCTTGGGAAGTAATATTCCATTTAAAAAAAAAAAAATCCATTTTTTTAACATTTCTTGTTTCAGGAGCACCACTGACAAAGAACACAGAGACTGAAATCATTACCAGCAGAGTAGACTGATGTCATTTATCACTCTGGTGCCTGTGCAGATGAAGTTACTTACAGCTTCCTAGGTTGCTGTAAACTTTTCTAACTGTTTTAAAAATCTGAAAGTTTACAGCTATAACTTAACAGTGAATCACTTTAAAACTCATTGCACATTCTGCTCATGCAGATTTTAAATAAAGCACCATAAGAAGAAATAATTATTTTCTTTTCAACTCCACCTCTTCTTTCCTGCTTATTTTTCTATTAAGACTCTGTACTAAAACACATTTTTTTCCTGAATACAGAACTATGGACAAAGAAGCCTTTCATTAATTCAAGAGCTGAAGTAGTCTATAAAGCAACTGTTTTCTACATTTCTAGAAACACTGAGGAGTTTTGGCAGGAAGAGCCTACTCCAAAAACCAAATATTGGGGGAGGAGCAGGGAAAACTCCTAAACAAGTTCTGCTTTCTTTTCTAAGTCACATTTCTGCAATACTTTCCCCTTTACATGGAACATGAAGATTCAAAAATCCCTTGTAACTACAGATACTCCTAGTAAATTATCCTGAAAAAGCTAAACAACATTTTTTTAAAAATGGAATTCTCTTAAACCTCTTCTCAGACCAATGACCACAATTAAAAATCTCCCACTAAGAGCTTTTGTAGAACTTTGTATACCACACTGAAGTTCCAGCAAAACAGAACAGCCACTTCCTACATGGATTTTTGAAATGTGTTTCATATGAATGGAGAGAAGGAGCCTACTCCAGGTTTATACACCCCAACAGCCACACTACTGTCACAATTTAGGTAACAAATGTAAAAAACAAGCAATGACATGGATCTAAACACTTGAAAGGCTCAGATAGATGGTATGAAACAATTCCCTAGGTGTGCTTTCCATATAAATTCAGAGCAATTTATTTTCATCAAATTATACAGCCAAAATGAAAAGATTTCTTTAAAAGCCCTAAACCATGACAAGAAATACATGTGGAATGTGTTAGGTACAGATTTGTGTACTGTGCATTTGCTGAGCTAGGAAAATTCAAACATACACTGGAGAGAAGAGCCAAGACTAACATACAGCTTAGCTGCATGAAGCAAGGAGTGAGTTTATTTGATCAACCTGATTTTCCTTTAAGTTTCTCCAAGAGATTCACTCCTTGCATACTGGAATAGTCTCCTAACAGTGTCTTCAGGGATAATGACTTTCTTTCTTTTTGCAAGTTGAATAAATTCAGCCAAGTGGCAGTTACTTAGGAAATGGAATTTAGCAATGATCATGTATCTTGATTTAAAGCTGAAAATGTTTTCAGGAAAAGCTGTAGAATCTTAAAGATTCTGGAATATTTATTTTTCTTTCTAGTCCTTTCAATGTTCAGTGGCAGTTCACCAACCACTTCTCTTCATCTTCCACAACTATATCTAAAATACATGCAAGACATACCACTGACCTACTGGTGGAATCACCAAATGTAAATAGTAATGGTATAATCTGACCACAGAATTTTTCTACATCATTTCTATTAATAACCTAGAATTCCAAGAAATTATATGTGGTATTTTCCATGTGTCAAAATGAAACTGTCTGTATCTGATTTTGAGAAATGAAAGAAGAAATAAAAAATTCTGTGTTACTTTTTTTGAAGTGAAAGGTTTTTATTTATTTCAACAGTATCTGTACCTTACCTGCTGTTTGTTGCCTTTTCTTGTTAACATGACAAATGGCATTGTGTCCCCAGACTCTGACTCTCCTTCCCCACCTCCAAGTGGGGGGCCCTTCTTCAGCTGACTTTTGAGATGCAGAGGAATGGCAACATCCAACTGGTGCACTTTAACAGATTCACCACTCCTTTGCTATGAAAGAAAAGCGAATTCTGTAAATGATCAGATGCTGACACAGTCACTCAGGCTGGCAACATTCACATTTTCACAGCTGAGAAAAGGTTTAACCTTCCAAGAAAATGAAGATATATATCACTACATTTATTAGGCTTACTTTATTTTCCTTTTGTTTTCCTTGCTTGTGAAGAAGAAAATTACAGGGCAATCTCTTAGGGAAAGAAATCTAGAGACCTGCTGAGACACACTGTAGAATGTACATTCTTCAGTCAAGATTATTTTTTTTGTACATCTTATTAATACATTTATTACACAGGGATTGCTACACTCAGCACTGAAATATTTACCAGATGTGACTAAGAAAACAAAGTACTAAAAAGCTTATGCAAATTTAAATGTATCTGCATTTTAAACCTATTAAAACCTAAGATTAAGTCAGAAGTTTGGCACAGTATCTGATGCATTCATTACTCATTCTGTAAAATATATATCAGTGTATCATGTATTCACTGGGCAAACAATACAAGTAACAGCTATTTTACTAAAAGCCAAACAAGTCATCTTCAGAGAAGAGGCCAAAACAAAGGAAAAAAAGTCTTCATTCCTTTAGTATGGTAATCTAAGCATTAATCACTTATTTACTTTAAGTGTAAAGTAAATAAGTGATTAAATAAAGTGAAATAAAGTAATCAACTACACTTAGCTGTACATCAAATTAAGAAAATCACTATTTATACCTGAAGATTTTCCAGCATCATTTTATCCAAGGCCTGAATGAAGTCCTCATCCTCTGCACAAGGGACATGCTTCAGTCCTCCTCCTTTAATCATTACTTCCTATTGCAATGGGAAAAAATCAGCCATTACATTGGTTTCAGCAATATGAATATTCAGTGTAGAAGTAAGTGGAAAATATCCTTATTGCTTCTATATCATACACAATCAAAAGGTTTATAGAATCAAATTCTTCTAAGAAAGAAGTTTTCAGCCTTGATTATTTTTTTGAAAGGCATACTTGCTGATTTATGGTCACTCATAACATTCTGACAGACTCTGTGTGTGTGTGCAGGTGCATGGACACATACAAGATGTGGCAACAAAAAAAAAAACTCTCTATCCTTGACACACCTACTGTAATTCAATTTTCCATTAAGTCCATAAAGTTAGATGATATTTTCAGGGCAAAGGCTACCCTTCAATTTTTTTGGAAAGCACAACATGACAACAAAAATATTAGAAGCCAGCACCATAACACATTGTTCTATAATGTTCATTATTTCCTTTCTATGTAACTGCAATTCAGGCTCAGCCAGGTGGGTTCTTTAGCTGCAAACATTATAATCTGTCAATCCCAAATTTGCATTGTAGGAATCTCACACTTCTTGGCTTTTCTCCTTTTCTGTTTTGAGATCTAGTGGATCTGTTTTAGTGGACCTGTCAATCCCAAATTTGTATTGTAGGAATTTCACACTTCTTGGCTTGTCTCCTTCTCTGTTTTGGGATGTAGTGGAGTGTAATTATTGACCTTGTTGTATCCTACCAGTTTGCTACTATTGCTGGCATTGCAAAACCATCATTTACACAATATTTTCCAGTTTAGCTACCTGTGAAAGCTCACAGTCTTAAAAAAACAAGTTGTAGCAAATTTGACAGCATAAAAATTTTCAAAAGGTAATAACCAAAGTATGCATACACAAAAATAAGCTATAAAATGTATTTGAAAGAATAGCAGGAAGTGTCTTTGCTGTGTTTTTCCAGATATGTTATGAGCAGCACTGGCAAAAACATTGAGTAAAGAAAACCAAAGATGCAAATTCAATTCACTTATCTCCAGCTCAATACATACTGTATTCTCCTCATCAGTTTCATTTTCCTTATTGGAGTCTGTAAGATAATCTGTGTTCTCTTCCTCCTCTTCTTCACCCTCTTCTTCCTCATTGTCAGAACCCTCCTGAAACATTCAATGTTAACTGCTGATTATTTTAAACAAGAAAGACAGCTGGTTCCTCAAACATTTTCCTAAACTCTTCATGTTGCTTAGTTAAGTCTTTGTAAATTTGTTTGGTTTTTATTTAATGTTTCAGTCTGAACTCAGCTTTATTACTAATTTCACAAATGTACAGCAGAAAACTGGCACTGGTGGCTGATCCCTGCTGCCACTCAGAGGGAACTGCACAAGCTGGAGGAAAGGACTGCAAGAACTCATCAAGTTCAAAGAAGGGAAGTACAAAGAACTTCAGAGGTGCCTTCCCCATGCTGCAACTGTTTCTGATTCTATTGATACTAATTTATGGGTGAAGGCACAAACTTCAGGACCTTCAAGGCTGAGAGACATCTACTGAAAGAAAGCTTATTATTAATAAATCAACCAGCCCAAGCACATGGAGAAAAGCTGTTCTGTATTTCCTTGATGAACTCATTTTCTTGTAACAATACCATTATCACGTCAGCTTTGCTGTGTCATAGTGACAAATCAGAATTTCTATGTACTTGTGGGTTTTTTTATTGGCTCCACCACTTTTGATTGAAAATATTATTAGCACAGTAAACAAGGAAGGCTTTATGCTCCATAAATCTTTTATTTATTCATATTGCATACACATACTCTGAACACATGTTATTTTTTCCTAATGACTGCTTTGACATTTAGTCAATACATTTGCTTCTAAAACAGATAAAGAAAGTCATCTGAAAGTGAGTTTTTATCAGGCCAAAAGCTGAAGGTATCTTCTTGCTGAGAAGCAGCACATGCCCTGAGCAAAGGTGTCAGGTTCAAGTTTCTGCCAAAATAAAGAATAAGCCTCAGACCCTGAGTTTTCCACACACATGGAACTGGGATGGGAATATCCTCACAGTACTGACTGGGCTGTGCACACCCAGATCTCACCTGCTAGCTCTGACTTAGAAGGGATTCAGAAAGCAACAAGAAAAGAAAATCACTTTTACACGAGGCAAGGTAATGATTAAGCTCACCTCTTCTTCAGGCTCATTTACTTCACTTTCATTTCCAGATTGTTCCTCTGTCTCTGCTCCACCTTCCTCCTCTTCTTCATCCTCTTCCAGATTCTCTCCTTCTGTAATGGAATCCTTGGAATCTTTGTCATTCACAATTCCTGAAATTTGCAAAAGAGAAAGATTTAGAACATTAGAACACATATAACCACTCAAGTTATATGTGGAAGATCACATCAAAAGTCCATTGTCACTGAGCACTAAAACTTAAAATATTTGATTTCTGAATGAACCATTTCCTATATACTTAGATTAGACATAAAGGGTAGTATCTTGTCAAAAAAAGGAAGAAAACCTTAGAGAGAATGTTTAAAATCTCCCAGAGAACAGAAGAAGCTGTGCAAGCTGCCTCAAAACATCCTCACACTAAATGTGGGCCCTACTGACACACACAACAAAATCTGAGTTCCAAACTACAGAGGCTGCACAAAACCAGCAGAACCAGAGACATGAAGCCCCTGCAGTCTTTGCTGTACTTCCCTCTACTGTCAATTAACAGTTTTGAAACAACAATTTTCTCAGCCTGTAATAAACCTTTATGACTCCCTCCTAATGCTCTGAGGCTGTACTTGAAGCCCTGAGGATGCAGGTGCCTGTATGAAATCTCTGGGACAGCACAGTCTCTTCCACAAGTACAATCTGGTGTGCTCATGCTCCTTGCAGACAGGTCTGACATTCTTACACTGAGTGTTTAGCTCATCTGGCAGTTTCTCTTGCTGACCTGCTTGCCTTCTGCCCCTCAAGATGTTTTAATTTACTTTGTGTGTAAAATATCAAACATAAATATCTCCTTTCTTTCAATAAGGCATCCTTTAATCTAATACCGTTATCTGTACCATTTCCACAGAAGTGAAAAATTAGTCCTAGCTTTTTCCAGTGTTTCAGTGTCCAGTTTAGTCTTAGATATAAATTTCAATCAGAATGTATTTAAGAATTGAGCATGGTTCTGATTCAGGAAAAAAAATAAGATCTGTTTTTAGAGAATGACTACTGCTATGCTTATGTCATCCAGTGAAAAATCCCCAAACTTCCAGCATACACTACTGTTCTTATACATTCTTTTTTTTTCTTTTCTTAATTGACAAAGCCACTTAATCCTGATGTCAGACTTCTACACCACTAGTTTCTCTAGGAATTTACTGAGGAGTCAACACAGTCACTATTCAGGCTGTCATTCCTTTTTAACATTAGACCAACTGCACATAGGGTCAGCCATCAGAGCAAAGTTTTGTGAAGTTCCTGTTATTTGTAGGAAGGAAGTGCTGAGTATCTTTCAAAAGAATATTACCATTTATATAACTCATATATTTCTTCTTGATTATCATTTTGAGAGCATGAAAACCATGAGTTTAGATCACACCACAGGGGAATTCTAATCTGCTTTCCAGTTACTACATAGGGAATTTCAAGGCATGTCAATTAAATAAACAGCGTTATTTTAAAACAAGTTCCTCCTAAAATAGAAGTTGCAACCTTTTATGTGGCTTTTAGACATACTCATCCCACTGAATGAAAGGATTATTCTTAAAAACTGAATGTGTCCAAGTAGGTGAAGTGCTCTAATTAACACTTTATAAGTGTAAAATTTACATATAAACTCTTTTAATGAACAAGCTTATTTTCAAATAAAAATGGAATATTAGATAATAACTGCATTTAACAATGAGTACAGTAGTATCCAACACTTTCTAAGAATGGATACATACAGAGGTTTAAAGGTTAATATGATGATAACAGTTTAAATACTCACTAATCAGAATATTTTCAACTGAGCTGTGCTGCCAGCCCAACTGTTTTCTCCTGAAATTAGTGTGATTACTACATTTTTCTGATTAATGATTTTCTTCCTCATAACTTGCAACATATGACTTCATAAATTAATACATACACACACACACACTTCTCTCCAAATACTATTATATTAAGAGTATTCATAATGACTACTTTTTCCAACATCTATTGTTGTTATGGAGATTCTGGATGGTATCTATGATGATTAGAAGGAAACATGCAAAAAAGGTACAAAAATGTTTCTGTCATGAAAATAGATGATCATCAACAAGTTACCTATCACCAACATAAAGAGACAATTTTAAGAACTACAGGAATTGTAAAAAACACCCAACTTCCCTTGTACATTTTCTTACCCAATTTTATTAAGAATTCTCGTTCCAAGTCTTGCACCTGTCTGACAGCTTCCTCCAGAGAATTGCAGAGCTTTATCTTTGGTCTCAGCAGTTCCAGGGTGTCACTGATCATATAGTCTATGTCTATAGGAAAAGGGTGCTCTTTTGTCCAAACATCCAGACTTTTTTTCCACCACACATAGCGCTAGAACACCAAATATTGAAATCAATTATAGGCACACTGATGTTTATAAGCCACTTAAGTTATGAAGTTTAAAATGCTATGTTTGTAGAGTAAAAAATGCAAAAGCTTTCATGTCACAACTCTCCTGTTTCATACAACTATTAGATATTTTGACAGCACTAAAACTTGTTTGATAACACTGGATATCACACACATTAAGAATTGTAATTACTGTTATAAGTATGAAGACTCAACAAAAAAGCCCTGACAAGAAAGTGCCTTCCCATGGTAGTAAACTCTTCCTACAAGAGATGACCCTTTAACAACCAGCCAGTTTTTGATTCCTTCTCCCAAATATTTTCAAGAAAATTCATTTCCTCAAAGGCGTATTATAGGGAAAGGGAGAAAACATCATAAAAATATCCTAAGACTGCAGCCAGCATCAACTGCCTTATCCAGTTTGCTTTACAATAAATTCACATAAACCTCCTACAGTGACACTGTAAAAAAATAATGTTGATTTTAAGTGAACCTAACAGTAAAACTTCAAAACAAGGTACTGCAAAAACTGCATCTGAAAATGAAGTATTAGTAACAGAATCTTACTTAAAAGATGACATGCTCAAGAGGAAGGTTTACTGAAATTATTAGGTGTGACAGGAATATAATGATGTTTTCCCCAAAACATTTATTTTTGCATTTAACAATTAGACCATGTCATACTGTGAGCAGCCTGGTCCAGTGGGAGGTGTCCCTGCCCATGGCAGGGGGTTTGAACAAGGTGATCCTTGAGGTCCCTTCCAACCAAACCATTCTGAGGTTCTGTACTTCAAAACACCATTTTACACCTTGCATGCAGATGAGAGATTTGTATCCTTAAGGTTTGAAATAAGTTATCATCTTAATTTTAATTTTTTAATATCCTTGTTTTAGTATAAATTATAGAGAAAAGCAGAAATAAAAAGAAATTAAATCCAATAAGTTTTAGCATGAATTCCATGGTCTGGAATTCCTCATTTCAGTGCTTAAACATTCATTACGGAATCTTTTCCTCACTTCATTATATTTACTGAGTCAGAACTTTCTTTGCTGCAACTTGTGCCCATTATCTCTCATCCTTTCACTGGGCATGCCTGAGAAGTATCTGGCTCCTCTTTCTCTACAAAACCATTAGCTGAGGACAACAGCCTAAATAATCTCTTCTTCAAGTTCAGCAAACCCTAATGTGAGCACTGAGTGCCTCCTGATCATTTTGGCATAACTCAACATAACATATTACTTGAAACTAAAACTGCTACCAGACAGACAATTTCTACAAATTACAGTGCTACAGAACAATGAAATAAATACCTACCAGACTGATTTATTTTAGCTTGTTAAAGAACTTTACAGATCTGCATAAAATTTAGAATACCTGAAAATATACAAGGAAGCAATCAAGTTTTCGCTTGCTGGATCCTCTGTCAAAATATTGCCCACAGGTATCAAGGATAGTGCAGACAAGTCTGATCCTGAAAAGATGTTCTGGAGGGTCCAGTGGACTAGGACTGCCATCAGGGTTCACACCAAAGGAGGTGAAGGAATACAGAGTTCTAAATATTACAGCTGACTCCACCATTCGGTAATTGTAAAGCTCCCCCAGAAACTTGGCACTGCTGATCCGCCGTTGGTTGAACTTTGGTTGATTAACCTTTATCAAAAAAGAACAAGAAAATTCACTCTATCATGCAGGCACAACAGAAAATTTAAAAACCCAAACCAAATCAACATTTTACAAAGGAAAAAAGCATAGAAAAACTTTGACAGAAATTCTTAGAAAAAACCCAACCAACCAAATTAAAAAAATCCAAACCCAACCAAACCACATTAAAAAACCCCAAACCCAACCAACCTTTTACAAAGGAAAAAAGTGTATTAAAAAGTTGACAGAATTTCTTATAATAAAAGATGGTTATTTGTGGCTACATACATTACATGAAAGTAAACATTAAAAAGTAGCTATGAAAGCTGGTCAGCTAGTAAGTTTCAATATATTTAGCATACACTCCATCTTAAATCTATGATGACTTTTCAGTCAGAGAAATCTTGAAATTATAACAGCTTTTGAAATATGGACTGGCCTTCAAAGTTACTGGAAGTTGTGTAAATCTGTCTACACTGTCAAAGAATAAATTTTATGGCCTTACTATGATAAGGGAGGCAAAACAATTGTCTTAAGTAACGTTAGTTTGGTTTTGTTGGGATTTTTTTTGGTACAGTAGTTTTATTAATTTAAATAAACCTATACAAAGTAAGTAACTGAGGTAGAAAAGTCACCAGACCAAAAAAAAAAAAAAAAGAGAATCCAAGGATTCCTTTCCTTAAGCACAATTATTTTATTATTTTAGTTTTTCTTTCAACATAAGTAGATGAGTGTAGCTTAGCAAGGATTCTGATTGTTTACCTCCATTCCTAGTCGAATATCCTCTAGCACTCCATCCACAACATGAATTCCCACATCTTCCTGGTAAAGGACCAACCCTGCTAAGAGGTTGGCTACACAGTGAATACTATTATATTTCACATTCCAGATGTTGATCATACAGCATATAACATAGTCCTTAACTTCTGCATCCTGCCAAGGCAGCTTGCGCATCTGTCTCAGGACCTAAACCAAATTTTAAGACAAGCTTCACATTTTAGCAGGTAAAATATCAAGATGTCATGCCCCCCTCTCTCCTGGCTGGGATGAAATCCCTGTTAGCACCTGTAAACAACCCTGTTCTTCCTTCAGAACCTTCCAGGCCTGCAGTGGCTATGGAAGATTTATGTACCTAACCCAGCTACTGATCAAGCTGTCCAAGGCTGTTCCATAATTTCCCTGCTCTTACACTCTGTATTTAACTGAAGCCCTTTGTCCCTTACTCTCCCAACACAATGTACAGAACACAATGATTCCCATCTCCCTCTCCCTTTGTTCAGCATTTGATGCTGTTGAGAACACAGGTCCACAAGTGGAGCTTCCAATAAAAGAAATTAAACCCTTTTATTAATTTATTAAAATTTAACCATTTTATTCCTCTTCCTTACAACTGAAAAACCATAGCCCTCCCCAAGTATTTTCCAAAGTCACTACTACACCACTTTCAGTAAAAACTATTAAAGATTTTGAAAGGATTTACCTTCTCTGTGGTGACCTTGGAGAGATCCTTGTAGAGAAGCTTACGGATATATTCCTGCAGAGGAGGACGTTTTTTCTTCACAGTTTTTTCAGCTGGAGGGGGATTACAGTAGTAATAGGCATTTTCTACCATGGTAACATAGCGTGCATCAAGATGCATTGCTTGTTTCTTCCTCATCATTTGTTCCTGCAAAAAAATGCAAATAACCTGTTAGAGATGCTGACACGCCACATTTTCAAGCCAAAGGCTTTTAGAGTTACATTTGGGATAGTTTTCTGCAACCGTTCATATTTACTCTAAGTTAAAAGCTTGGGTAGAGAGAAAAAAACCCAAAGTACATATATATGGTTCTGTGTTGCTCTTTCCATGGTCATTTTTCTTTATGATCCCTACTTTTATAATGGCTCACCTGTGGTAAAAAAGGTTTCAGAAAAGAATTTAAGATTTAACTCAAAATCCTAATGCTACTGTTCACATAAATGGTTCATAAGACTACTAGGAACTGTGTTTAAAACATTATTTAACTAGATTTTATTTAACTAAAGTAGCTGAAATATTGATGTCTTGACACAAAAACATTGAATTATCATAAGACTGGCAATCTACTTTTTACATCAGCATGTAACTCCAGAGAATTTTTGATGGTTTCATATTAATTACCAAAGGTTTAGACAATAAAATTTTCCTTATTCCATGCTCCATTAGTGCTGTTTACCCAAGCAGAATCAACTGCAAGAAAAACAATATGTACCATAAAGTAATGTTTCAGGAAAAATTAGACAAGTAAGACTTAGTACTAATTACTGTGCTTAATTGTCATGATTGTCCTGTTTTCCTCACAGAATAAAATCTTTTCTCCATACTTCACATGACATACGTAAGTTAAGGTTCATTTTGTGAGGTTTAAAAATTTCTTTTATCTAAAAAATTCTGTAAAAGCATGAAAAAAGCAGTTCTGATTTTTACAGTTGAGGATGAGCTTAATTCCATTATTAAATACTTTTTAGTATGCACCTGTGTAATTATATATATATATAGGTGTAATTCAGTAAGTGATCCTATATATTCTAAATCACTCTATGGTGGCTCATCAGGAAACTGGACCTGTGTAAACTTCATTGGCTGGTTACACAGTAACTTATAACTCCCAATAAACAAAATTAACATGTAAGAACTCTTTCACACACACAAATATTAGTACATCAATTCATGCAGTCCAATAAACCAACCAAGAGTTTAAACCTCCTTTGATTACTGGTGAGAAAGCACTATTTTTCATGCTCACTATTTTTCATGCTCACTATTTTTCATGCTCACTATTTTTCATGCTGGTGGCCTTTCCACTAAACCTGAACAATTGAAAATTTCTTTTATAAGGCAGACATTTCAGCTCAAATGAAATGTCAATGCACTCAAACAGCTCCATAACCCTGAGCTTCAGCTGCTAATTCAATGAGGAACAGCAGCTTTGTGTAACACAGTAACCCAACAAATAATCCAAGTTTCCTCCTGGATTTAGTCATCTATCACCAGGAAGGTCTCCATCTGACACCAAGCCTAAGGCATTTCATTCTTAACCTTTTCCACCACACAAATGGTCTTTCCTTTGATTCCCTGTGAGACTGTTCCTTTCCAAATGGGAAATTTCTGTCAGTAGCACATTTTCCTACAAGCACCCAACAGATGCACAAGCACATAACAACTGAGTACATAAATTGTTTTATGTGGGAAAAAACACTTAGAGTAGAAAATTCCCAAACTTTACCATGTCATCTATGTTAATGTTACCTTTGAAAATGTTTCACCTTTTCTAGATAGATCAAGGGAAAATAGACCTTTGCTGCCTTAAAAGCATTTATCATGCTATGCTATAAACTGAAAAATGAAATGGGTCAAGTGAAGCAGAACAGAGAAAATGGCAAAAGGGTTTGCAAGTAACATTTTAAACCCCCTAAACCTACAGAATTTGTGTATTTTCCTGTTACAAAAAGTTGTACATTATACTGTAAATAATAGTTTATAATTAAAATGTTTCTTCCCAGAAGAGACAATAGGCACTACCTGAAGTGTCAACACCACTGTAATTTATCGGGTTTTGAGCAGTCCTGAGTGTGTGTTCTAACTGTAAGTGGGTTGTATTAGTCTTAACCTCTACTTATTAAAATCTTCAGCATTTCAATAAACTGTTTCAGTCCTTTTTCAGCTAAGGCATCAGATGGACAGGCAGGAAAGAGAAATCCTAACACTACACTGTTTGTAGTGATAAAAACCTTGATGCAATTCAGAAGAAAAAAGCAAGACCTGTGGTCCAAAGTGCTTTAAGCCCATCAGCTACTTTGGGTCCTCATTTCTCTAGGCTAAAATGAAGAACTACACAGGTAAAGCACTAGATCTGAAGATTGGGTTTCTGTTTTTCCTTTGATAAAAACAGACCACAAACAACATTAAAGTATCCATGTTAAAATATTAAAACTGTTTGGGTTTTTCTTCTTGGTGAGTGGCACAATCTTTCCGTATGCAGCATATATTGCAGAAGCATTTCAAAAGAAAATGTGGTGACCATTAGGGAAAAAAAAAAAAGAAAAAATAACTGATTAAAACCTAAGCATCATGAGAATTCCAATTTTGGAAAGCATTTCAGCATAACTGACATTTCAACAGCAGATCATAGCAAGATACTGAAACTGTTCAGCTCCTGCTTCCCGTTAATACCTGCACTGCTCTGCCCTGCTACTTGTTCTGACAGTTCCAAATGGAAATTTTTCATTTCCTGGAAGCACATTATTGTTACAGTGAATTAACCCAGCTCTACATGAACTGCATTTACTTTGCCACAGCCTCTGCCTGTACAAACAACATCTCCCAGTTTTAACAGCACCAGTAAAAGCAGCCACACCAACGAGGAAGCCACTGTGTACCTTAAGTTCTGGATACTTACTAACACAAGTGGTCTGCCCCCGAAGCTTAAGACAATTGTCTAAGTTAAATGATTAAAAATGCATCAGGAACCTTTTCATATTCCTTCAGCCAGACCACAACAGTATAATACAAGAATTTGACATTTAAACTCAATTATGTTACAGAAACATAGATCAAGATGAAGCTGATCTTCCTTTCAAAGCTCCAATTCAAATGATCCAATTCAAGTAATTCATTTATCAATTGATCAATCCTAAAGCCAATCTAGTTTTACATTAGTATTTTAATTTCATAAAGGACACTGAATTTGAAAGATTTGCCAAGAAGACCATTACTAGAAATAAACATTGTCCTGATAAAAGAAGAATCTCTAAATAATCTGCAAAACATGAAGTAGTTCCACAAAACCAGGATATGATCACTAGAATAAGTTACTGAGAGCCACTAAATTTGCAATGCCCTTACAGAACACTTGACTTCTCAATAAGTAATTTTTCCTTAATTACTTTTAAAATCCATTCTTAACTATGACTTTCTTCTACACCAGGACAAAGCCACATTGTCTTTAATAGGAGATATGCAGCCTGTTTGGAATCTTATTACAAAATACATCATCAGCAGTAAAGATTAGAACCAATAATTATTTAGAGGATCAACAGGCCTTAATTCCACCCATAAGAGTAGATCAGCCTTACAATTGCTGAGATTTTTACCACAAGATTGTTATCAGCTTGCTTTGAGAGAAATCTTTTCCACAGTTCCTAACTTGTATCATAAGGTGATCCAATTTGTTTAAGACTATTTAAGTTAAAATTAATCTCTGCAGGCTTTTTAGGGGAATGTTAGAAAATGCAGTTATTAAGATGGATGCAGAATATAATTCTATTTAGCCTATTTTACATCTTAATAAATAGATAGTCCAAACTTATTTGCCATCTTTCACCTTCTCCTGGCTCCTCAATGAATAAGAAAAGACCACTTATCCAAAACCTTGTGAGGCTTTAAGCCTCAGTAATTCAAACAGTGTTTGTGGTTTGTCTTGCACTTCCCAGTTAAGCCATGTTTAGCATTCATCCAGCAGATTCCAGCAATCCAATCTAACAGTCAGCATTTTTATAATGCACAACACTAAAAGCAGTCAGTTACAAAAACCAGCTCTGCTATAAGTATTTAATTTTTCCTGACTTCTAAAACTTTTATTAACTGCCATAAAGTGACAGCAATGAGTAAAATGCCTTTTAAAGATAATGGAACTGAATTTTCAAGGGAAAAATCCTTGATTATGGAAAGGAATATATTTCACAATACAACACATCAGCTGGAAAACCTTTACAAAATTGAGATTCAAACCTTTCAAGATACAAAGCACACTGCTACAAAAAGCAAGACCCAAGGAACTGGCAGTTAATTTCCCCATCTCTTTCCTGTCATGACTGCACCACCTCAACAGATGTTCTGACATTCAAAGAGGTTCAGAAAAAAACAGGATTTTGTGGAAAAGAAATTGTACAACTATATATCCAAGTATGCAACTGCTTCTCCATTAACTAGAGCACAAGAAGAGAGACTACTGGTTTAAGGGAAAGTGAATCTGTCTTTGAAGATCCTCTTCAACCATGTCTGAGTCGGTGTCTTGCCTTGGACAGAGTTTTAGGAGTTTCTCTCCCAAGTCATTAAATACATTTTTTCAATTCTTGTTATTTTTAAGTCTTTGCCAGTACTTCTCCAGACTTACAGATCCCAATTCTATTCTTAATTCCCAATCTCTATTTCTAGGACTGCTTCTCTTAGTGCCTTCATAAACTTTTTTTTTTTTCACATTTAGAACCCCCCCCAGATCATTTTACAGGGCATAGAAACCATCTCTTGCACAAATGTCTTCACTTCCAGTTGAAATCATGTTTGCTTCTGTTTACTCCTATTTTTCCCCTCAAACACTATTTCAGGCATGTTCAAGTATAGCTACAATATTCTTTCAACCTCATCCTCTGGGTTTGCAGAGGATGAGGTTGCAGACTAGTTCAACAGCAACAGCTTTTTACTTCAGAAATTGAATTCCTTTTCTTACATTTTCTTTCAAGTCATGAAGAGGGTTTTAGGTCAACTGGAGCTCTAGAGAATAGTTTCAGAAAGATGTAATTTAAGTCAGAACATGACACCCTCCCCCTTAAGACAACAAGTTTTCTCTTACCAAAAGAACACTGGTTCTTAGGTGAGATTCTGGTGATCTGAAGAGGAATCTTCCACAGGTTTCCAGCAAGGTACATGCCATTTCAATATGGTGATGAGAGAAGTCTGACAGAAGCATCTGGAATGTATTTATATAAAAGCACAGCTAGTTAAACATCTTTTTCAGCTGCAGAAAACATGAAGTTGTATCTACCAGACTGGACACTATGCTGGGATACTAAATTCTTTATGGAAAAAATGTCAATGTATTTCACTGATCAGATGTGAGGATTGGCAAGGCCCTGGCACAGGTGCCCAAAGAAGTTGTAGATGCCCCATCCCTGAAATGTTCAAGGCCACTTGGATGGAATTCTGAGAAACCAAGTCATGGAGGCTGGAAATAGATGATCTTTAGGGTCCCATCCAACCCAAACCATTCTATGAATATTCAAAAGATTAATCTCATTTTAAAATTCTTATAAGAACAGGTTATGGACCCCAAATTCAGGCTTCAGAAGAACAGGATCTTTTGAAAGACCAGCATAAAAACTCTCCCCAAACTACCCAATAACACTGCACAAGGGCACAGCAACCTCAGAGCACACCTAACTGCACTGTTTGCAGTTAAGCAGTAACTATAATTAACACAGCTTTGCATTTTACAGCATTTTATACACAAGAGAGGTGAAATCATGAATGATTATGATTTCTTTAGGAACTCAACTTTGGTATCTAACAAGTCAATGAATAGAAACTATTCATATAGAAAGTGATGTTAAGCTGAGTCTCAAGCATCTTTTATTAAAGGCACTTTTATTTTTTAAAATCTATTTTTAATTTGGGACTTGACATCAAGGTTTGAATGTTTATCAGCATGCAAAGTGAGATGATGTGCCTACAGATTAATGCTTTACAGAAATGTTTTGCTCCTCAACAAATGGCATAAAAGCCTCTCCTTGCATCACTGAAATGCTTTTTGCCTCCTGTCCCTCTCCCTTACTGTTATTTTCTCCACAAAAACATTAATTAAAATCAACATTATGGAAGTTTTACAATGTACAGCAGATTAGTAAGTAGCAATGTCTGCCATACTTCCAAAGAAAATGATGAGCAGTTTGGTTATGTCCAAATGTAGAATTTTATTTTAATATATTCCTCCCATTAGAAGAGGTAAAACTGTCTAACTTCTACAGTGGCTATAAAAGTCTCCTCATACACAGCAGCCACAGGTTTAAAACATCCCATGCAATGAATTCAGGTATCAGCAGCAGGTAAGTAAGGGGAATAGGATGGGGACACACTGTCAGCACACACAGGAGTACAGGACTACCACAGCACCAACCTTTAAACAGTGCAGAGTATCATTTTTGGAGAACATCTTAAACTTGGTGAGCTCACCAATAAACCTCACAGTTTTATTCTTTGTTTCAATGTTGATCTGGTCCTTTTTTCTTACCTAAAAAACAACCAAAAATTGATGGTAGGCCCTCAAAAATACCCATTTCTTCTAAATTACTTTGATCTGAACATGCACAAAACACACCTGGGAATTCAGCAATGTTTGGTACCACTTTGGTTCCTCAAGCTCCACCTTTACTTCTCACTGGGTTTCTTAAAACCCTCCCTACAACCTTGTTTCTTCACAAGATTTTCAATTCTTTTCCCCATCTCCTTACCCCCCAAAACAATTAATTCCTCTAACATATCTATTCCTAATTACCCTAACATCCTCCTCCTTTGCCACAATGAAGCAGTGATAAAGAATTCTAGATTCTACATTTTCAGAATCAGTAAGAAGTCTCCATGTGAATAAGGCCACTTGTACTGTCCTCAAGGAAACATTAAAGATTGATAGGTTTTTAAGTCAGATTTAGTAATGTGCAGAGTTTTGAAATTACTGACATTCAGCATAAATTCAAGAACCAAACACAGATATATATCTATACCTAAATATAACCCACAAAATAGAAAATTTTATTTCCCCAACAGAAAGAGGTTTTTCTGAGAAAGTTAACATTGTTAAGATTCAAGCAAGTTTGAGCAAATTAGACACATTTTTAATGTCAATATTAGAAAAAAAATTGAAATCTGTGCCACAGAGCTCAGAAAATGGTGAAAGAATCACCAATGTGCACCATAACAAGTTTGGTTATAACACTTTAAAAGAAAGTGAAGGGAACAACACTGAAAAATACATTTGTGTGGAAAATTTTGATAGATGAAAATTTTAAAATCTAATTTTAATGAAATACTATATGATAACATTATGGATGATTATTATTATTATATGATATATTATTATATTATTATATAATAGAACAAGTATATACATAAATTATTATATTAATTAAATATATCATATAATAATTATTATATATTATTATTATATTATTATATGATGATAATATGGATGCCTCCAATAGTAGCCTTGTAGTGGGAAATTTTAGAATTGGCCAAGTCTCATTTTAAAAGCAAGTTATTAATTTACAGAAAACTCAACACAGATAAAGTAGAATATCTAATTTTTGTAACTTCTGTTGTAACTGTTGTACAGATCATTTACATAAATATGTAAATTTTATGCATTTTTGTACAAAATGCATTTTGTACATTTCCTAAGCATATAAGGAAAGTTGCAAAAACTTCTATTTTACAAAGACTTACAAAGTTACAAAACTTTCTCTTCTTTTTTCTAGAACTGCTGAGATAACAGAAGAATATTCACTGAATTTTAGAAGCGGTATCTACACAACAAAAAGTGTTTTTTCCCCGAAGGTCGACTTATGAGATTAATTGATGGTTTTAATAAAAATATAAATCACCAAAACATACATGGAACCTGAAATCCCCTTTCAGCATAGAACAGAGATCCTCTGCCACATCAGACATACAGGGATGCAGTGTGGCAACCAGTCTTGCATAAAATGGTAGCAAATCCAATCTGCAAACAAAGGAGAGGATAAAATAAAAAATTTACAGACAAAAAAGTATTTATGTGTACAAATATGGGTACCATTTCACTTGTGAAAAGAACCAATGCACTGACAGAACTACATACATGCAATTTTTTTGGCCCACTTCAGAATTCAGTATCATTTAAAAATAAAACAAGAAAGCAAACTCCCATATCCTGTTGGAATAATTCATAGTTCATTTCCTTTTTAACTCCTGCCCTAGGTAAAATGCTGAATACCATCAACTACAGAATTTCACCTTCAATAAATTACCAAACAGAAAGAAAATTCAGATCCATCTCAACATACAAAAAAGGTTCTTACAGAAAAGGCCATGGGTTATGGTAAGGTATTCATATTTTTTCTGAAAAGCAGCAGACATAACCAGGAAGACAGAGAATATCTTTACTTTTAAGGTGGAAAACTCCTAAATGAATAGTAGTTATTACATAAAACAAAGCTGAGCAGATGTGATGTGGCCACCCTTTCCCAAAAACTCTGCTAGCACTCCCACAAATGGTAATATTTCCAAGGTTTCAGTAGAATTTCCTTATTTCCTTCTCTCTTGCCTTAATTACATGCCTACACACACATTTCCTTTGCACATTTATGCAACCCAGCTGTGTATATATCAGTTTTAAATGCAGAGAAACCAACTGCACTCTGAGGCCTCATAATATCACTTAACAAGCTGAAGGAAGTATTTTCAGTTTATTTTCAGAATGTTAAGTTAATGCAGTAAACAGATGAACTCCAGAACAAGCCAAAGTAAGTGGAGAGGAACATCCTAAATTTGCATGCTTCTACTGAGAAATTGCCCGTAAGGGAAAAATGCATCTTGAATTTGCAGTTTATGAAGGATTAAGGTTTTCCCTAGTGCTCAGGAAAGGAAAACAAAAAGGAAAAATATGCTAACAAAAAAACAAAAACAAAAAAACAAATAAACAAAAAACCCAAACAACAAAACCAAACCAAACCAAACCAAAAAAATAAATCCAAAAGCAAAGCTGATACACAGAGCTTGTCCTGGCACAAAGCATCAAGACAAAAGCTCCAAAACAAAGCCATCACAACTGCCTCCTTTCTCCTTTTATGTCACTGGAGCCCATTTCCAAGACATTTAATACCCACTTACAGAAAAAGACATTTATGTATTTAAATTGTGGGTCAGAAGCATCAGAATTACTCCCCTCAAAAACATAACCAGGCAGGCTCCTGGTAACACACAAGCCTCTGGTGAAACATTGTGGGTATCTCAGTTACCTATTTAACAGCTTTTATCTCTTCTGTTAATCAATAACTGAAGCAGTATTTACATTTTTCAAGCTTGTTGGAACACACAGTCAAGGCTGACTACCCACAGCAAATTACTAGCATGTTATTAAGCATTCAGCCATTAACTTTGAGAGAAGTGAAAGTCTCACTATTTCACACACACCCACAAAAGCTAAACTAAGAGAGGACTGTGCTGAGCTAAGAGGGTAAATTTAACTGAGGGGATTTCTGTATGGCAACTCTTTTAAAACAAATATCAAAGTTTTATTCTGGTCTCAACAAGTACCAGCCTGCTGAGAGGTAATAATTTCATCTCTGTAAACTGAGTATACCTGGGGGAAAATAAAAGTCTTAGAGCACATTGTTGTTATTCCCTTGCAGGACACAAAAGGTTTCTTCATGAGGAAGCACACTAAGACTGGGTATTTCTAAATAGGTGAAATATAATAAGGAAAAGGCTTGGCTTAATTATGCTGAAATTGGCAACCAGAGATAGAGTTTGTTCCCTCTCAGGAGAGACAAAATTTCATGTTCAGCAGCGGAGACATTCCAGTACCAGTGGCACCATCTACTGGCACATGCAGAGCTTTGTTCCCTCCAAAAGCATTTCCTTCTCTTGAGCAGGGGGAAGAACTCAACTAAACCCCCTCAAACCCCACATTGCTTTCTCTTCCTGCTCTTCTGGCTATGAAGCAAGATCTGGCACCAGGGCTGGGTCAGTGACTCTCTGAAGTACCCTGAACATTCAGCATCACAGGAAAAAGCACCACTTGTGACCATTGTCATTTAGACCCCAAACCATGGACTGAAATCCAGTCAGCTCTGGGTCTCAGGCTCACATGAGCTACACTTCAGTAAAATATCTAAGAGCACATCTTTTTTCCACTATTTCAAATGTCAGTTTATTTTAAAAAGCCCAAACAAACAAAACCAATAATAAACAAACTTATCTCAAAGTCCTAACTGCAATCTCTTTAAAATGGATACATCCAAAATTTTATTCCCAGGAAGAGTGAAGGGGGCATTTTGTACATTTCCTAATTTCTGTGAATCTACAAGAAAGCCTAAAGAATGAAGCAATGGAGCCAGAACTGCTGCCTCACAAGCACAAGGATAATGGAAAAAAGCAGTGCCCTCACAGGGCCTGAACAGGTACCAGGTGCCACCCACACTGCTCAGGGGCAAGACAAGGATGATGTGGAATTGGAATGTTACCAGGGAAGCACTTTTGGCTTTTATTTCTGTGCCAGCACATAAAACTCCTTGATCTCAAGCATATCCCTCAATTTTATCCTCAACTGAAACAGGCCATGCAAACACTGATAAGTCAAGTTCAACTGAACAAAAAGAACCTTGCTACAGAGAAGCCTCAGGATGAAAAGCTGACAGGAAATACACAGGAAGCTTGCAGCTTTGGAATTAAAATGTGAACAACTATTTAACACTTAAGAAACAGCTAACTTCTGAATGAAGAACAACCAATAATAACATTAAAAACTTCCATGTCGAAAACAGATCTCTTGCTGCAGGTAAACTTGCAACAAAGACCACCATGGATGGGAACATCAAAAAATACCATAAACCACAACAGCCCCTATATACTGTATTAAAAGTAATAATAATTACTTAATATACATAGTAATTAGTAATAATAATTATAATGTATAATAATTATAATGTATATTTAGTAATAGTAATTACTAAATATACATTTATCTAGAATTGTTTAGAATTTAAAGCATAAGAAAAGATTTCAGACTTCTCACATTGAAGTAAAAGAAAATAATTTACAGAATTGTAGTATTCTGGTAAACCTAAATAATTCTGTGTACAGGAAGATAATTCAGCAAAGAACCACACAAAAAGGTCCCAAAGCTGTGAGCAGTATGGGTTAAATCACTGCCTGCAACCCTGGATTAACAGGCTAATATTTAGATTTAAATCAATCCTCCAATGCAAATGTGAAAGCCACTCTGGCATTGAAAAATCTTTTTAAAAGGCCTTCTGTTCTGTTGGGCTGGAGGTTCAAATCACAGCTGAAAATGTAAATGTGATCCATTCATCAGCATTCAACAGAGCAGGGCAAGGATGCATTCTAACACTGATTTACAGTGAGTTGAGGAAGAAACGGCCTTTTTTGTCAAATTAGGTTTTCTGTCCTGAAGAATCCTGATTTGTCCCAATCTATCCAACCCTAGTGGCAGCAAGAAAGCTCCCTGGCAACACTACATAATGACTTTGATTTCACAGTGTCTGTTTTACACATCAAACAAAAAACCAGTTTTACATTTTCCTGATGAAACTGTGGTGCCTGCACATTTCCCAAAAGTGATCTCAGGAGAAGAAAGAGAACTTATTCTGTCATTGAAATACCTCATTGTGGCTGCAAATAAAGCAGCTAAACTTAAACAGCATTAACTGATATGCTTGGGAACTAAATGCTTTTTGAAAACATGCTGCTCTATCTGCATCCTCAAGGACACTGCTCCTCTGAAGCTTTCACAAAAAACCCTCCTCAAAAACATCAGCACAACAAGCACTCCTCTCCCACAGTATCCCTAAGAGATGTTGCAAAAATTCTTGGAGTAGTAAAAACAAGTATGGAACAACAATAATGGAAGGTAAAGCCATATCACTATGGCTCAGTGAAGTGATACCCTGAGCAAAATCATCATTAATGCGCAGAACACAAAGCCTCAAAGCAGTGTGACACAGAATATACAGAATTTTCTACAGCAGAAAGGATTATGAATGTTGGTTTGAAGGCAGAGCAGAACTGCTCTTTTACCAACTGCAGCAATACAGTTTACTTAAATATTGGGGTAGGCTGCCCTTTCAAATTGTCTGCATTTATGGGCAGCTCAGCTGGTATTCACAATCCAGCTCTTGTGCTCAGAACAAGCAGCTCAGTCAACATCCTGCTCCTTCAGCTGAGTAGCCCAGAGATGGGCTCACCAATGCAGGCCCACACTGAACTTAAGATCTTGAAAGAATGAGGGTACCTTGAGTATTTATTAGTCAAGTAGGTCCCGGAGCAGACAGCAGGAAAAGGAATTAAAAAATAATTAAATGGTAGTACTTGTTAATATTAGGAATAATATGTAAATAAAATAGTCATATTTATTTATTCATTATTATTATTTATTTATTCATATTTATACCTAAATCTATACCTAATACCTAAATAAATAATTCATATTTATAATAAAAAGACCAGCAGAGAGAAGATTACTGAGCCATTCACTTCAGTGTTAGTTCCAGCTACTGGAGACCAGAACCATCACAACAGCAGCAGCTCCTCAAGGCTATCTCACTATCCTTCTCTATTGAGGTCTATGAGAAAAGTTAATATTTTAAAATTATTTTTACTTTTAATACAAATCTGCAGGGCAATGGAATTACCACTGGGAAGATGACAAATCAATGGCAATGAGGAAACTGTGTATGCTTCTAGGAGTTTATTAACTCTGTTCACAGCACAGCCTGATCACAGACACATTTTTTAACAGTGCAATATATCAGGAATTTAACTTTTGCTTTCATGCCATCTATGAAATCACACTGCTGAATTTACAAGCCTTATCATGCTGCTCCTGTTTGAAAGTACCTCCTCTCACTGTGCACATCTCCCAGTTCCTTCAGATCACTGTCACACAGCACAATTTAGCAGATTATGCAAAGAGAAAAAAGGATTTTCAAAGAGTTTCCAAGAGTTAATAATCAATTTCAGCAATCTGGAAGCTACAGCACCAGGAAACAATACAGGACAGTGGTACAAACATTAATGTAATGTTTGTCACAGACCAGCCAAAAAGCCACTTCCATTTTACAAGTATGGGAAGGTCTCTATTATGGCAGAGCTGAAGGCACAAGTCTAAGTGCTCCTGCTGATTTTCTTTACTGTAAATGTCCTAAGCTGTGAAAAAGAAATTCTGCTCACATTGTGTTTTGATGCATTTCATGATTACCAGCAGGCTGATAAACAGAAATGTTCCTTCCCCTGCTACCTACATTTGGGCTGAAGAGCACCTTGTTGCATCTAACACAGAAGATAATCAGTTGACTGCCCCTCTGTCATTAATTAATTAATGTGTTAGGCACAATCAGGCCTCTATCAAAATCTCCAAACACTGAGGTCAAACCTGTAAATTTTAGAGGCAAAAACACACAAGAGAATGAAAGATCATGTGCACTGCTTCACCATGGAGCCAGGTTAATGCCTCAGTCAGCAAACAAACCATTGCTTTGCACACAGCTACAGAACTGAGTTATTAGCACAGCAGATGCTTATTTCAGATGGGATGCAGAAATGGGCTGAATTAGGGTTGAAAACAGCACAAGCAGTGATTAAACAAAGCACCAACTCTGGTTGTTCAAAGCCAGTCTACACAAGTGTTGAGACAAAACAGATACTCAAGCTATTCTTTAGCAAGAATTCCAAGATGATCATGTTCACTTCATGTTAAATTCAGCATCAAAACAGCTCATCATGAGAAACAGGGCAAGGTGAAGCAAGAAAAGCAACTTCTTCATGATTTCACCTATTTAAGGCTCAAGTTCACAGAGAACAGAGAAATATATTATTCCTCCAATAAATTCCATGTTTTTATTTGAATATTTGCAAACATTTTTGGAAGGAGGGCTCTTCCTGTAAGTGCAGGAAATCTGCTTACACAGAGACAAGGAAAACAGCAACAGCTTTACACAGGCAGATGTGCACAGACAAAAGAGGCTCAACGTGCCTGGCCTAGAACTGGCAGAAGGCACAAGGCTGTTACAATGGCCATGTACTGCATTAGAATTAACACATCACAGGAAATCCTCCTTCAAACTATACTGTGCTCTAAGTGTCCACAGGCTCTAAAATAAAGTGCAAGTTGTCCTGAATAAAATAAAACCTCCCTTTTTGGTATCAGGTAGGTTTTGCTGTTACTTTCACAGTTTTCACAATAATGAAAAGAGATCTGCTGTAAACACCAAGTATTAGAAAAAAAATTCCTTATTAAAAACTTTAATTTTTTACAATTGATCATGGTGTGGATCATTGAGTCTAAATACTTTGGTGCTTCAGTATAAGCCACTCCAAAAGTGCAGATCAGGAATAAACAAATGGAATATACACTGGTTTTAAAAAATACATGCAACATGCTAAATTAAATAATTAATGGGCGGATCCAGCTTGGTCCCCTTCTGTTCTTACCTTTGTCTAGGAACTATGAAAAGTGCTCGTACCAGTTTTCTTCTGTTGGCTTTTGTATTCATATTCATGCAAAAATCCATTGCTGCCTATAAAGAGCAGAGTTATTGCAATGCTTCACTATAATGCAGTGGGTTTTCAAGAAAGCAACAGAAAATGGTGTTTAAACACAGCTTTTACAGAGTTATTCCTACTACATACAGCTGCTGTAAAAATAACCATAAAGAAAAATCTTCAGTTTTGGCTAGAACTGGCATAGTCAGAAAACATGTCCACTGAGAGGAATACAGACTGATTAAAAACTAATTCAGCTTCTGTCAGACTCTAAAGCTTGAAATCTTTATTTTCTATCTGATTTTTTTTTATTATGGCTTTTAAGAGTGCAAAAAACTGAAACTATGACTGTACCTTGTCTATGAGGTCTCTGTTGACACAATTTGGAAGCTGCTGAAGAAAAGCATCTACTATGAGTTTTAAATGAGATCCAGTACTGGCTTCTTCATCTTCTTGCTCTAACAGAGGGAAATAAACAAGCAGCAGACATCTTTAAGCTCTGAAATATAATAATTTACCAACACATTCCCCAAAAGATGCATTTATAATGTTTAGTTGTTAAGTATTAATTCCTCTTTGTAGCCACTCTTCAGACAACTGCCTTTACATTTGCTTACTTTTAAAAGCTGTGTGAAGGAATTGGTAACTTTCACTACATAAACATCTTTAAAATAATTTTCACTTTTATCTGAATGACTTGCTAGAAGAACATTTATCACAATCCTAGCAGTTTCTAGCTGCTAGTTTCATAAATAAATAAATTGCCCCGAATGCACTCAACAAATCCACAAGCCAAAACAACCAAGTTAAAAAACAAAACACAAAGAAAAAAATTCTTAAAACCAATTCTTTTTACCTTGCTCATCAAGAAGCTTCTTTGTAAGATCTTCTGCCTCATCTCCACAGTCCAACTCCAGTGCATCATCATTAATATCCAGGTTCTCCAGCTCCAATTCCAGATCCTCATTCCCAGCTGCTTCCTTATTATCTTTGGCATCTTTTGAATCTATTTACAAGTTAAGTAAAAATACCAAATAAATGCTAACAAACTGTTAAATACACACAGTCATTGTTACAACATAGGAAGATTAATGCTGCTAAACCTACATCTCTACTGTCTTAATGCAAAATCTTTTACATAGATGAAGAAAAAAAAGGAAAAAACAGAACTGGAGGAAGGTGTTGATCAAATAACATGCTGTATAAAAGGCCAAATAAAGATTATCAGTTTCCTTGAACACAATATCTGAATCTGAAAGATTCAGAAAAGAGTAGTTAATATTTTTCTTGGACCACAATACTGGTCCAACACTGAGCATTTTTCCAAGAGATTACAATCTACAGAATTTTACTGTTTTTCCAGGCCTCCTTCCAATTGCATTTGCAGACTCTGCTTCATTTAAAAAAAATAAATTTCAAGGTAGAGAACCTTATTAAAATTCTAAAATTTTTCAAAGCCATGTGTGACAACTTCTAAACAGTGCGCACACCATATGGAAATACAGACTCACAAACAAGTAACATGTTCAGAATCACAGACAAAACTAGTCTGAAATGGACTTAGGTGATGTCTCCAGTTCAACCTTTTGGCCAAAGTGGATGAACAATATTCACACCAGATTTCTCAGGTATTTTTCCACTTGTTTTAAAACAGACAGAGACTCAAGTCTCCCTGGGCAAGCTGCTGCAATATCTAAAGATCCTTACAGGGAAATGTCAGAATTCTCCAATCGCGCATCCTGTGTTACACACAGAGCCAGGGATGGTGACTTTTTATCCCACTGCACCTGAAGTCTGCACATGCCTGGTTGTGAACTGAGAGCTGTGCCAGAAGTGAGGAACCACCCAGGTCTTCTAATCCAGTGAAATTTTATGCTGACAATGTCACCTAGCATTAATAATTGAATAAGAAAATAACAGTGAAAAAAACCCCAAACACTAACAAAAGGGAAAACTGCAAAAAAGGGAAAACTCTTCCCATTTCTCACAGAGAAGTTGGTATTTACTCACACTGGTTATCCTTCAATTACCTGAAATTTACAATTCTAACAAAATTAAAATCAATTTACTTTCTTCTTCCTTAATAACCAGATGTAATCCCTATCCTACCTTGTTTATTCCCTAAAAATTCATCCAAACTGGTGTACTGTCCTGATAACACAAATTATTTTATTAGACTCATTCCTTCCATCAAGTTTGTTTATCTGTTGGACAAGATATGTTGAATAAAATAACTCATCTAAACATCCTACCTCTTGATTCATCTTTGCTGGAATCCTTGTTCTGGGAATATTTTTCATTATCTTTAAACAAAATTGCTGGTACAAAAGCCTTCAAGTCAATGAGATTCTCATAGAAGTTTCTAGCATCTTCATCTTCCCAGATACCCCCCTCCAGGTCATACTCTCCAGGCTTTCCTGGTGTGAAAATATCAATACCAGGTCCATGTTCTGCAAAAGTAGTGAAAACATCACAAAGTTATTTACACAAATTTACAATCTTTCATGGGGAAGCACCTTTAAGAGTCCTTTTAGGAAAGTGTTAAACAACTTATTATTACTTCTGTTTTCACCTGAATATTTCAATGCATAATTTAAAGTGGTTTTAACAATTCAAGCTTAGTATTAGACATAGCAAGAAATTATCTTAAAATCATAAATTTCATTTTGATTAAAAATACAGACAGAATCAGAGGAGGTCAAATTAAGAAAAACTAACAGCACATTATGTGGTATTAGAAAGTTGTACCAGACTTTAATACATTAGCATTAAAAGTAATCACTTGGAGTATGATGAACTGTATGTGCCCCACTGAGTTTTAGGCATGAAGTTTTAAAAGAACAATTTAATACTTAAAGGCATTAAAAAATACAGCTTTTTAAACTTCAACATAATTTAAAGCAAAAGATAGTCATGATTTCAACAACATCTCAATGAATCTTACAGTGTACATTTTTTTTAAGGCATTGAAAGCTGCACTCCTGCTCAGGGGGCCAGACAGCCACACCTGGTGACTTATCTGGCTTATCAATATGTTCCTGCCCACAACAGACTTCAAATGTATTTTTTAACAGTGTCAGCTTTTAAAACTCTGACACAGTTTTTAAATACTAAAACCTGCATAATAGTAAAGGAAAGGATCAGGTTAAAAACCTTTCTAATTTTCCATTTATTACTCTATCCCCAGAAACAAACCTAAAGCGTTATTATTTAGGTTTCCATAACTACACAATACACAATAGTTATGGTTACATACTAGGCATAATTACTTTAATTTTAAAAAATAAATGTATTATTCATTAGCTGATAACCTTTAGGAGGAAAGGCTGAATGAAATGAAACCAAGAGAAGGAACACATTGCTAAGAGGGTTTGGTTCATTTTTCCACCACATCCAAGCTGAGTCCAGGGTTCTGCTGACCTGCTTTAGAATCTGCCTTACCCTCAGGTGTTGGCTTCTCCTGGGGGAGGTCAGGCATGTTCTCATCCAGAAGATCAGCCAGAGATTGAGAACTTGCCAGCAGCTTCTGATAGGACATTGCAAATTCCTCATACTGCTTGTGTCGATCCTCACTCAGCTCTCCCTTGGAGTGGAGAATGCGCCTGCAAAACCCAAACTGACAGTCAGAACACCTTCCCTTCAAACACACCTGAGCTATGCTGAACCATCAAAATTCCTCTCAGCAAAGCTGCCCTGCCCTCTCTGAGGGACTGTAACAATCCCAGTTTAGACTGAAATGGCAAACATTTAAGTGACACTATTATCTTTCCAAACCACACTGAATTTCCAACTTCAGTGCTGGAAATTGAAAGAGAAAGGCTCACTTACTCTTTGCCACAATTAGGCTGTAAAAGTCCTAAAAATACTTACATAGTAAATTAAAATATTCAACTTTATCAATAAGCTAGAAAAAAGTTGCTTTGCACCTGTAACAATTCATTTCTACACTGTTTAAATGATTACATGAACTATTGTCACCAGGAGGGGCAAAACATTTGCAAGCAGCCCACTGACTTTCCAACAAAAGAAGTTATTTCAAAGCTATCAGTCCAAATTATGAGCAGCTATATTTGTTTCTTCAGGTGCTCTTTGTTTTCTTTTACAAAACTATTCATACTTGTTTCAAATAATAATTTTTAACATTGAAGTCTGTTGGCAAAAGTAACTTGCACCTGAAGGAACTTGATCACTGCTCACAAGTGCTGGAACCACTGACCAAGCACCCTGCACTGAGATGGAAACATCAGAAACCTGAAAAAAGGTGCAAATGGCACAATTCCCAAAGCAGGTTGTATCATTACATTATCATCTGTAGGATTCCAATCTGTAGGATTTTATTATGCAATAGGCAAACAGTCACAGTCTTGCCAAACATTTTGTGGCAGAAGAATTCTGAAATAGTTAAGGCAATGTAAGTTGAGGGATATCAGTCTTTTTGTTCCAGATTAATTGTAAAACAAAAGTCTTTGTGTACACATTTACAGGGTGAGCAACAAAATCCCTTATCCCTGCTCAGAACTAAAAGTGGACACAGGTGTCTGACAAGAGAGCAAGAAGCATTAGTGCTGGCAAAAGTTCTATTTCTCTGACAAAACACACTTATTTAACATGTATTGCCTGCTCCTGCAAAGTACAGCAAAGAAAAATTACCAAATTAAATAACCACTGAGTATTTGTGAAGTGCAGCAGTTCAGTCTGGATTCAGGAAACACATTGAGTGTCAATTCACAGCTTTTCCATGGAGACTGTTGTCTATTGCACACATATTTTAAACCAGCAGCTTTATAAACACGAGCATTGAAGCTCTCTGCTATTATTAAAAAGAAAAAAAGCAAAGTGCTGTAACAATAGTACAAGACTTTCAGTTCTCAATTTCAGTTTCCAGAAGACAAGTGTTAACAAATTCAAAGCAGTTAAAGCAAAAGAAGCAAATTAAAAGCATGGTTCACCTGTGAATACAATTACAAGTACAGCACATAGTACTTGTCTCACTTTATGTCTCCTCAAAGCACAAGGCAAGTCCAGCACATCTTAAAAACATCCTTAATTTAGACAAGAGAAGTTTCTTCCATAGCTAACACTTATTTTTGAAAATTCCCTTCAGAATATGGGAATCAAGGAGTTTCCTTCCAATGACACAGCCTGACAAGTTTTGTTGTGCCCTCAGCTGTGTAACCAAACAACCACCAGGTTCTGTTATATAAAAGTCAAAGCATAACTCAAGGTACTTTTCCTGACCATCCACTTAACCAGCAACACTTGAGTCCGCTTTAATTTTACCTAAATGATTTCACAGGTAACACAGCACTAAAGCACTGTTAATTTAGCACAGTAATTTTCAATTAATTCAACCAAACTGTACAAGCTAAATCATTTCACAGTCATTCTCCTGATAGAGATAAGTGGATGAGTTATTTACCTGACAAAATATCATAACCTTAACATGTGACACAGCTAATGCACAAAGGGAACACTTCACTCCCTGCTCACTTCATTGATTGTGGAATAACACTGTGAATAAAAACTACAGCAAAATGGATCAGATTTTCAATGCACAGAGAATTGCTTTATCCAATAGGATTATTGGGGTTTTTAAAAATAAAACTAAACCAACCTAACCAAGCAAAAACACCACAAAAACTACACCCATAAAAAAATCCAAAAGCAAGTAAGGAATCAAGTGCACAATCACTTTCCCCAAATCCACAGTTCAGGAAGATTTCTGTAATACTTATACACTTCTTCCTTGCCAAATCTCTGTCTTGCCCTCCTCACACCCTGCACTTCCCTAGCAAGCAAATGCCACAAATCTGTTACAGATGTTGTAAACAAATAAAATCTGCTAGGAAAGATTTTGATGCCTTATTTAACAAAACTTATTCCTCCTTATTAAGGAATTAAAATAGACACCTCAAGCTTCAGAGAGAGAAATAAAGGAGTTCTCTTAATCCAGTGATAAATGACAGCTCTTCACACTCCTTCCCCAAAACAGAGCCTTGCACCCAAGCTGACAGGGAGGGATAATTCAATGACAAGGTGCTCAAAGAGGTCCCTCCTCTGCCCTTGTCTGATCCACTCAGAGCAGGCTCAGTAATGAGGGCAGACCAGGCTCTGTCCACCCATTTTTATGCAGTTGTACAAGTAAATATTAAAGTATATTTCCTTCTCCCAGATAATTTATATTCTTTCTGCTTCTTGCTTTCTTAACATATTTTATACCTCTCAGAAATTTTTTTCACTCTATTTTCTATCATGCAGACTTTGTAACACTCACTCATTGAAACACCAGCCAGAACCAATGTGCACAGAACTAATGATAATTGTGAAAATACAAAGGTTCATATTCATTCACTTTGCAAAAATTACATCTTAGCCAGTAATGTACTTTGAATTAGTAAGGTACTTGTAGAAATAACAGTACCTCAAAAGTCAGTTTATGATCCTGTGAAATTCAACACTTGGCTGAGACCAGACAGGACTGCAGCACAAAACCCATCAGCACAAAGGATTCTTGCTTTGGAAACATAAAAATTTAATGCATTCCAAGCATACATTTGGTTCTGGATGGATGTCCAACCTTTTAGCTGAAATATGTGTCTATAAACAGTAACGTGTTCATTTCTATCTGACTGGAATGCTTCCAGAAGAAATTGACAATGACTGTTTTAAGAATAGCATTTGGGTTTAGGCTGGCTCCAATAATGAGAATTCATTTATATGCTTTAAAGCAAAGAGTTATTAAAAAATGTGAACACAGCAGAAATAAAATTATTCAGATCTCAAAGTCTACATATTCATACCCTGCAATATTAGTACTACATATAAATATTTAGGAGGACTTTTATTAAATTGTCTATGCCCTCCAACACTTTAATACATTTATTTAATATATATTTGTCCACCTTAGACTGTAACAGATACCTTCTTAACTTAACCTATTTTTTCCTTCATCCTAGTATACTAAAATAAGTAAACAAGCCAAAGCAATTGTGGCATATGTTTCGTTTGATACACGTGGGTGGAAAGGGAGAAATCAGATTGTGCCAACTGGAAAAGGACAGTACCAGCTGGGAAAGCAGCATTGCTCTCATGCTGATAAGGAAACAGCACCAAACAGAGGAAAGAGAATTACAGCTAAAGGTCAACCTCCCTTTCCTTTAAAAGATATTCAAAGAGTTTGTTTTGTCTCTGCTTTTTAAGTATTCAGAACAAATTTAGAACTTTTTTTTAGAAACACTGCAGAACACACTTATCTTGTACACACTGCTAACTTTGTTCATAAATACTGCAACAAATCTAGGCATTTCATAAATAAACTCATTTTTATTCATAAGTAAAAAGCAACATTCAATTGTCACCTGTTTTGTCTTTCAATATTTTGTAGCTCCCTGTGGTCCCTTTTCAGGTGTTTGGTCAAAGATGTAAAGTATTCCTTCAACAAATTCTGGAAGGGCTGTTGTTTCTCTGGGCTAATTATCTCACTAGGAGGAAAGCTCAAGTTAAACTTCTCTGCAACAGTTTTTACCTTCCTTGGTACCAAACCAGCAATGTCATCTCCACAGTGCCGACAGAAGCTGATAACCACAGAAACATGAGTGTGGGACTCTCGGTCAGCGTTAATAATATTTTTAAGCTGCTCATAGATTAAAGACAAACCTTCCTTGTCAGTGAAAATCCCAACTATTGTCAATTCTGCAATGAAACGCAAATCAGTTCTTAACTTGGTAATGTTGGGAGTCTTCTCTTCTTTCCTTGCTTCAAAATGTTTTTTCCAAGCCTGAAGTAAGGAAGGAGCAAAATCAGCGTATCGCTGGTGAAAGAGGGAGCACAAGTGCACAGCGCAGTTCACGTCTGATATTTTCAGTTTGGCCTCCACAATGGAAGCTACAGCTTCTGCAATGTATTTGCTTAAATTCAGGCTATTAAAGTCATGGGACAAGGAGTCCCTTTGTTGCTCTGTAATGGTTTTTAGCTTCTTAACAAAAGCTGTGTTCTTCTTCAGACTGGAGTCCAGCCTGCTGAAGAAGTTTTCCTCGGGACGACTCTCCGGCGCGTTCTGGTTTTTGCTGCGGAGCTCTTTTCTCGCCTGATGGCGCTCCCAGGCCTCCTGATGGAGCTGATGGGCTTCCTCCTTCTCCCTGTGCAACATAAAAATTAGTTTTGTTATGGAACCCTCATCTCAGAGTATCAGTACAAAGGAAAAAAGGTCACAGCTGGAAAACTTCAGGAGTTCTAACACAATTTCACCTTACTCTCTTCTGTAATATCTACTAAGTTAATCCTAGAAAGCTAAAGCATCTGCTGCAGAAACTCTGCTTAATTCTTGTGTTGCAAAGGGCAAGTACTACTGGTTACAAAACCAAATTTCTCAAATATTTCTATGCAGAACATATTAATCCCAACAGACTTGGAAAATATAAACATGAAACTTCATTTACTACTGATGAAGTTCCCACAGAAGAGGAAACAGCCTTTCAAAAGGTTACTGTATTACACATTTAAGGAAAATGGCTGTATTACACATTTAAGGAAAATCTTTTATTGCCAGACTACTGAAATTACACAGAAAATTTGGAATAGGTGAAATATATCTGTCCCAGCTAGAATTTGGCCATGACATTGCCTCAATCTTAAAAGGGAAATATTTCAGACCTATAAAGATGCCACCTTCAACACTGTACTACATCTGGATAACATAATAAGAAACATGGTCTTGGCAATATCACATATTAAACTGCCAGGCTACAGTCTGAGTTTGCCATCCAGGTATCAGTTGTCTATGACTGATTAAAAGTCATTTCTCACATCAGATTTGCTCCTGTTATGTATGATCTGTAGATCTGCAAAGTCTGTATTCCCAACTTTTGGACAGTAACACTTAATGTGAAATGCATCTGTGCTTCTTTATTGTCCTGGTTTGGGCTGGGACAGAATTAATCTTCTTCAGAGTATCCTGTATGGAGCTGTGCTTTGGATTTGTGCTGGAATCAATGCTGATAACACAGGGGTGTGTTCACTGTTACTGGGATGGGCTTACACGTGGCCAAGGCCTTTTCTGCTCCACACCCCACCCTACCAAGGGGGAGTCTGGGGATGCAGAAGGAGCTGGGAGGGGACACAGCCAGAACAGCTGACCCCAACTGACCCAAGGATATCCCAGTCCATACTGACACCATGGCCAATACGTAAATCTGGGGCAAGAAGGAAGGAGAGGGATGAGAGGAGTGATGCGTTTGTCTTCCCAAGTCACTGTTAACATTTGACAGAGCCCTGCTCTCCTGGGGATTGCTGGGGAAGTGGGGAATGAATTCATTCTTTTGGTCTGCTTGCCTGCACAGGTCCTGCTTTACCCACTGAACTGTCTTTATGTCAACCCACAAGATTTCTCACTTTTCTGATTCTCTTCCCCACCCTGTTGAGGGGAGGGAGTGGCTGTGTGGGGCTGATGCCAGCTGGGGTTAAATCACAACATTTACTCAAGCACAATTGTGCTCCCCATGGTCATCACATGCAGAACACTATCAAACCCCCACAACAGAGACCAAAGTAACAGAGGTTACAAGTGAACACTCAAAACCTCTTAGAAGTCCTAAAGCACAATCAGACAAGCATGTAAAATTTATAACACTACATGCAACTTATTAAAAGTAACTCCAACACTTCATCTTTTGTAACTCAGACCACAATCCTGATAACAGAACTCCAGCATTTGGCCCAATTAAACCTTTAAAAGATGACTTACTTCAGTTGAGCAGCTTCCTCTTCTTGTTTCTTTTTTTCTTCCTCCTCTTGTTTCTTTTTCTCCTCTTCTTCAAGTTTCTTTTTTTCTTCTTCTTCTTTCTTCTTTTGCTCCTCTTCTGCCTTTACTTTATCCTCTTCCTTTTTCTTCCTCTCCTTGTCTTCCTTCTTTCTTTTATCCTCTTCCATTTTTTTCTTTTTATCTTCAGGAACCTTTAAAGTCTCTCTCTTCATACCAACCTTCACATCTTCTTTTGGCTTCTCCCTGGTGCTCACTGGTCGCCTTTCACTGAATTCTTTTTCTTTATTATTTAACTGAGATTCTTTTTCTTCCATATTTGCTGGCTTTTTGCGCTCAGCTGGCATTGTGTTACCCAGGCAAACCTGCAGAAGCACAGGAAAACAAGAACTTTTAAATTGCTGTTGATATTTTAGTCATTTTTCACAGCCCACCCATATTCACTTAACTCGCAAATGTGTGACTCATCAAAATAAAGGTTGTCTTGAACTAAGGAATGGACCTGACAAGTAAAAACAAATCATTTTGTAAGCATGTTTTTCTGCAAAGTTGTCTTCAGCACGAATTGTGAAATAAAAGCATCTTGAAGTTTCTACAACCCAAAGAATTTAAGATCTTGAACATAAACAAGTCCATCTGAAAGAAAAATAATTCAAGACTGATGAAAAAAAGTACCCCAAACTTAAAAATGAGTACACGCTTGAAACATCAGCATGCATCTGCACCTCATTGACCTTCCTACACATCTCCCAAGAATCCTCCTTCCACTAGCACTACTTAGGATCATAGGATAATGCAGGTTATAGATGGGACCTTAAGTAATTCATCCTGCTGCTCAAAGCAGGGTCAGTAATGAGATCAGACAAGACTGTGCCAGTCCTGAAAAGTGTCAAGGGAAGAAACTGCACAAACCCCCCGGCCAACCTGCCCCAGTGCTGGATTATCCCCACTGTGAAAAGGCACCAACTTGCTGCCTTGTTCCCTCACCCCTCCCAGATGTGCCCAGCCTCTCCAGCACTCAGCACAAGCAGCAGCTGAAGAGCACAGTGCTGACTCAGCTGGATGCACAAACCTCCCTGCCAGCACAGCAAACGGAAATAACACCACAAAGGCTGTGATTATCAAGACTTAGCAAAGGCTACAATTTCTCTCTCCTTCTACTCAACCAACATTTCTGTAGGAGCTTTAGCCTCTTTGGGGTTTCCAGCCCTCCAAGCTTTGGTTTCATTTGGATAAGGACACAAAAGGTGACATGTATTGAACACAAAAGGGTAAAATCACAGGGCAATTTTGATTAGGAGGAAACTGTGATGAGCACCTAGGTTAGGCCCCAGCTCCAAGCAGATCCAAGCAGATCAGAGGCTTGGCAAAGGCTTTAGCATCCCCAGGAAGAGAGAAGCAATGGTCCCCTCTGGGCTCACAGAGAAAAAGCTTTTCCTGACACCAGCCTGGAAATTGCCATGCCCCATATTGTGTTTGTTACTTTTCATCCTATCCCTGCACAGCTTGGGGGAGAAGCCAGCTTCATCTTCACCAGGCTCTCCCACTAGGTTAAGACAGTAACAAGATTTCCCCCACTTTTCTTACAGATCAAGAACCCAGTTCTCTGTTTCTCTTCAGATATGTTCTCCAGCCTCCCTGTGCTCTTGGTGATCTTCCAACAGACTTATTTCAGTGTGGCAATGTTGGGAACAGCGAACCCACACCTGGATGTGCTAACTCCTGAGCAGAGAGGGGAGACTCACACTCAGCCTTAGGGTTCACTGCTGGTACCACAGCCTGGAATGCAAGGGCATTCTGCTGGCTCCTGTCAGGGGCACGTGGGCCAGGCAGGAGCACAAGAGGCAATTACAACCACCTAGGCTTTATTTCAGGATAAATTAATTTCTTAACACCAAAAATAATGTTCACACACTTACTTGCTTCAAGTTAAATGCATGCATAGGTGGGACTGACAGGACACCACTGCATGTGATGCCTTTTGAAGAGCCATCACTTTGTTTTTATCAGTAACACCAGTTTGATTCCCAAGGGCCACCCCTACTTCTGCCTTTCTAACATTTTACTCTGGATTATGAAAACATTTAGATTCACCAATTCCCTGCATCTACTCAGAGTGGATAATGAGACACCTGCATTCCAATCTAATGTAGAGTGCTTCTGGTATTCATTGCAACTATTTTGAAATAAGTTTATAAATAAATAAATTTATAAATAAATCTTCACAATAAAGATGCTTCTTAATAAGCACTGCACATTCTCTCTGCCATCTCCCAAACAATAAAATGACATATTTATATACTGTCTATCCCACCCAGATGAAAGTGTATTACAATATTTAAGGTGCTCATCCAGGGCTTCTGAAGAAAAATGGTGTGCGAAAATTGACAGTATCAGTGTTTACATCTAGGCAGTGACAACTTAGCAATGGGGAGCCTGTTCATGACTTGGCCTCAGGCAGCAACTGGCAATGGCACCAACAGGGAAATGTCTCTGACAGGGACTTATGGAAGTCAAATCTGCATTGCTTAAACAAGCACACTTGGCTCCCTAGTGTATGGCTACAACTCTAACATTTCAGAACTATTTGAATTCCAAAACCACTGATCTTGAAACAGTATTATTATGAAATCAGTACTTAACCAAAGAGGGAAGGGGTTGCCTGTGTTTAAAGAAATGCTGGAACAGCATGTCACAATTCCAGTACTCTGAACAAAATATCCAGCTACACGAGAAACTTTTAACAGCAGGGTCATTTACCAACAGGGTCGTTCATCCTCTTACTGAATTTAGGAACTCAGAATTCTGTTTTAAAGATGTATCTGATGCTTCCTTGTATAAAAGCAAACCTAAGAAGATGAGATAAAAGAAAAGGGAGGGAGCATAATTGGGCACATTATGGTTTTGACCACAAGGCAGTATTGTCCACTTTTTCCCAGTGAGCAACGGACTCCAAAAAAAACCCCAAAATCTCGTTTTACAGTAAGATTCTGTTCTGTTCCCAAACAGGCACGCTGCAACACTTCTCACTGCCTGCTACGTGTGCTGCTCCTTATCTCGCAAACCTTTCCGACGGCTGTGCCAGCTCGTTGGTGCCGACACCACCCGGCCGGGGGCAGCAGGAGGCGGCGCTGCCGCTGCTCCAGCAACACCCGGCGGCTCCAGCGCAGCTCCGGCCAGGCGGAGCTCCCGGCCCGCACACAGCTCCGGGACAGGCAGAGCTGTCCCACAGGAAACCTTCCCGAAAGCTGCGGGGAGCAGGGAAAAACGGGAACAGCTGGCTCACCTGGGCCTCATCTCCATAGCTAAGGAGGCTGAAGATGGCATGGAAACATTGATTCTGTTTAATATCTCACATTGACATTAATGCACTGATGGAAAGGCATAATAATGGCATGAACTCCATAAGCCAACAGACAGGACAAAGCAGCACTCACACCAGAAACTGGGAAGGTCAGAGAAAACAGAGACAGGACAAACATCCCTGTGTCTTTGGACTCTTGGCAGCCCATTTCTGTAGTGACACTTACAAGCTTTAACACTCCTTCTCAGTTTCAGCACCTACAAACAACAAGTTTCTAGAGGGAACCATTTTTCGTACTTTTTCAATATTTGACATACAGTGACTCATTTGCAGCTAAGTCAATCTCTATTGTACTTAAGTTTCTACTTTTTTCAACAATAATCTTGGAATTTGAAAGAATGGGACTGGGTTCATGATACCCTGAGCTCAGAGACTTAAGAAACAGTTTTGAAATACAGAAGTAACATTTAGGAAAAACTATCTATGTTATTTACTCTTGAGGCAAGCAGAGAGTAATAAAAGGTATTCAGGATCACAAATCTACTCACAATTCAGAATAAAAGAATAAACAGCAACACCTTGGCCCTCAAAGCAATATTCTCAAGTCAATAAAAACAGTCTACTCCCAAAGCCTGTGGTAATATGATCCAGAATCTCCTATCCTTGCAACCACAAGTTTGAGGGAAGGAAATACAGTTCTATTAAACTAAACACAATTAAATTTTTCACTAGAAATTAAATGGATTACATAAATAGTCTTTTCTGCAGCTACTCTATTACAAAAGACATATGGGAGATAATTAATGCAGGCAAGATGTCCCACCTCTGGCTGAAAAATCTCAAAGGGCAACAAACTCCTCCATCACTAGTTACCACACCACTAGAAGGTTGTAAGTTTCAAAAACTGAAATTCAATTAAGGTTCTCTTAATGCAAGGGAAGGTGCATAAGAAAAATACCCAGGTCAGTGAGGAGAAAATAAACTTACAGGTTTTGGAAAATGAGACACAGCACACAGGGAAAAAACCAAAAAGGCAGTGCAGAGCGAGAGGAGTCCCTCACACAGTTGGCAGGGAAGGCTCACAGAACCACAGAATATCCTGACTTGGAAAGGACCCACAAGGATCATCCAAGTCCAACGACTGTCACTGCACAGGACATCCCCAAGAGTCACACCATGTACTGAGCACATTGTCCAAACACTTCTGGAGTTCTGTCAGGCTCGGTGCTGTGATCACTGCCCTGGGGAGCCTGTTCCAGAGCCCAGCCACCCTCTGGGTGAAGAATCTTTCCCTGATATCCCACCTAAACCTCCTCTGACAAAACTTCAGGCCACTGACACATCTGGCCGGCCTGCTGAACAGTCAGACACTTTTACTTTCGCTTCTGTCCCTCTCGGGGACAATGTTTTGCTGCCAAACTTGCAGGAAGGCGCTTCCCACCGAGAGACAGAGGCCTAGAGACAAGGCACTAAGTACAAAAAGACTCCTTGGCTACCACCCCAGTCCCCGCCCGCAGCTCTCCCGCAGCCCTGGCCCGTTCCCGGATGGCACCAGCGGCTTCCGCTTCCCTCCCGGCCTCCCTCTCCAGGCACCGCCACCCGAGCCCCACGGCCCCTCCGCCTCCGGAACCCCCTCCCCGTGCCCCCGCCAGGCCCCTGTGCCCTCCTGCCCCCGTCCCCGAGACCCCTTCCCCACACACGCCCCGGCACCGCCCTCCCGTCCCGTCGGTGCCCGCGGTACCTGTGCCCGGTGCCGACATGGGCCCGCCCGGCGCCGCCGCCGCCTCCTCCTTCTCCTCCGCCCCTCCGAGGCCCCCGAGCGCTTCTCCCCTCACGGCGACCAGGCCGCCCGGCGCTGCCTGACCCACGGCGCTGCCCCGACCGAGCCCTCCGCGCCCGCCCCGCCACGCCCGGGCGCCAGGGGAGGAGCGGCGCCGCTTCAGGGCGGCGGAGCCGCGGCTGCGGGCGGCGCGGAGCGGCGCTCCCCGAGGGGCGTGGGTTAGGCAGCGCGGAGGGCAGCCCCGCGCGGGGTCCTGCCGGCGGACGGGTTACCGGGAGTGCGGAGGCGGAAGGGGAAGAGGAACGGGAAGGGAAGGGAAGAGGAAAAGGGTTCGGCGCCGCGTCCCTCACGGCGGCGGGAAGGGGGAAATGGCTTCTGAATGTCGCTTCCTTGGTGGCCTCAGCGCGCGGCTCGGCTTGTGAGGCCGCGTGACGTCACGGCGGTGACGTGTCTGTGCCGTCATGTGGCGGGTGGGGCCCTCCGGTGTCACCGTGATAAAACATTGGGGTGACAGTGTCCGAACAGCAAATTGCTGCCTCAGGGTGGCTTCACGGGCGTCCATTAGTGTGCCCGGTTTTGGGCTCCTCAGCCCTAGGGGCACAAGGAGCCGCTGCAGAGGGTCCAGCGGAGCCACAGGAATGAGGCGGCTCTGGAGCATCTCCTGTGAGGAGACTGCGGGAGCTGGGCCTGGCCAGCCTGGAGGAGAGAACACTGGGAGGGCATTTCGTGAATGCAATAAATGGCTCCAAGGCAGGCGCCAAGAGCCTGGGCCTGACTCATCTCAGTGGTGCTAAGTGACAGAACAACACTTGTAGCCATGGTATTTTCTGAAAAATCCTTTCCTTAGGATTTTTCCTCCTGAGACGCCGAGAGGCCTCAGGAACAAAATGAAAATAATGATTGTCTGCTGCTGTGGAATGCAACAGGTGCATCTGTGATTGGGCTCATGGGGTTGTTTCTAATTAATGGCCAATCACAGCCCAGCTGTCCAGACAGTCTTGGTCAGTCACAAGCCTTTGTTATCATTCCTGTTCTACTCTTAGCGAGCCTTCTGATTAAATCCATTCTTCTTTTAGTATAGTTTTAATATAATATATATCATAAAATAATAAATCAAGCCTTCTGAAACATGGAGTCAACATTCTCGTTTCTTCCCTCATCCTGGGACCCCTGAGAATACCACTACAAACACTCATAAAATACAACATAAGAGATTTCACCTCCAATGAGGAAGAACTTTACCTTGAGGGTGGCAATGGGACAGGCTGCTCTCAGAGGTTCCATCTGGAGACATTCTCAATCAACCTGGATGTGACCCTGCCTTGGCAGGAGGATTGGACTGGATGATCTCCAGAGGTCCCTTCCAAACCCACCCATGTCACAGACAAATTTTATGAAAAATCCTTTCCTTAGGATTTTTTCTCTTGAGAATCTGAGAGGCCTCAGGAACAAAATGTAAACATTGATATCTGCTGCTGTGGAATGCAACAGGTGCAGCTGTGATTGGTCTCATGTGGTTGTTTCTAATTAATGGCCAATCATAGTCAGCTGTTTCAGACTATCTGGAGAGTCACGAGCTTTTGTTATTATCCCATTCCTGCCTTTCCTTTCAAGCCTTCTGATGAATCGTTTCTCTTTTCTTCTAGTATAGTTTTAGTATAATACATATATATAATAAAATAATAAACCAGCTTTGTGAAACCTGGAGTCAGCATTCTCATTTCTTCCCCAGTCCTGGGACCCCTGTGAACACCAGCACACACCCATTCTGTGTTTCTGTCTTTGGGTGTCTTTTCTAGTTTAAATTTGGTCTCTCTGCCCTCTAGTCCAGTCACTGTCCCCACCTGGGCATCTGAGGATATTTTACCGTGGTGAATTTAGTGCAATCCCAGATTTGCTGGAAAGGCTCTCTGCCTGCAGTTCTGGGCACAGCATCACCTCTTGGGCAACTCTAAAGCTGCCTAAGCTGGAAAAAGCTGGCACAGCCCAGAGCTGCAGAGTGGGAATCTGGTGTTTATTTTACATTTTGAATCCAGGTTCCGACAGAAGCTTTTAGGTTGGGAAAGCCTTTACACCCCTCTGGGCTTAGATCAAGCCTTCAGCAATACTGGACTTTGACAGCAGGCACAGGCCTGGGTGTACATAGTGAGATTATTCAACTGTTAAAGTTGCTTTTTACTCAGAGGCAAGAGTCAGCCTCAACAGAAGACACTGTTTACTGGTGCAGAGCTTGAGGTGTGTTCTGCCAGCTGGTACAGGACTAGACAGGTTGTTTTGGTTTTTCCAGGGAAGAGCTCTCCTCCCTGCTGTTTAACTTCACTGCTCATTTCGCAGACATATCTAAAAATCTCTTTCTGGACAAGCTTGAAAGGATGGAGTCGTGCTTGTTACTGGCACAGATCATGCACGTGTCCCTGCTCACAAAGATCTCAGCTGCTTGCCAAAATATCTTAAACTACCAAGTTGATTCAACAGAATCAATGGAGTGGAGAAGATCCATGGCAGAACAGTAAAAATGGGAAGAGAAAATCCATGTTAGTGTTGGCACTTTATTTTCCAAAGGCACCAATCCTTTGGCCTGTCAGTGGGTGCCTTTGGATTTCTCTTTTTAGGGGGAATTGGGTTTACTTGGTTTATCAGTGACACTGGCATCACATCAAGAGATGTTGGCTTATTTTCTTCTGAAGCACAATGCTGCTGCCCTTTCCAACATGCATAAAAAGCACAATCACTACAGTTCTGAAAGGAAAGCAAAATCTCCTTTTGTGTTTATACCACACTCCCACATGTACAGTTATGTTGGAGCTCTCTCTTGTAAAGGCCATGCAAGCAAACTTCAGAAAACTTTTCCTTCTGAAGTACCTGTTTCATTTGTGCACATACTGATCCAGCTTTTGTACTGATTTACCAAAACCAAAACCAGGTAGATGTTTCCTCAATCTTAAAAAACATAATGCTTTTTTTTTTTTTTAATTCCTGAAGGTCATCTTCTCAATTTTTTTTATGTTTCCTCAATTACTGGCACCAAACATGCACACAGTATTTAAATTGTGCCAAATACTGGCCTAATGTAGAATCTGTAGGTGTCCTCTATATTTCCTTGCAGCCAAATCCAGCAATTATCTTCTTTTCTGAGTGAGTGGATATTCACAGAATTTTTTTAGACCTACCTGCTTTTTTCTCATGATTTTTGGAGATTATTTATAGCCACTGTTTTCTGGAAAGGAGCTATATTTTAGTGAACATACTCTTTGAATATATGCAAGCTTTCACCTCATCCTGTTAAAATAAATCATGTTTGTTTATCTCCATCTTCATCCTGTTAAAATAAATCATGTTTGCTTATCTCCAGCTTGACTCTGAGATTCAAGGTAGCTTCTCCTCACCACTTAGCTCCAGCTGACAAACTTCATCAGCACTCAAGGTGTGGGCAGCTTTTTTGGGTTGATCTAACTACTGAAGTGGCAAGGAAGATAATTCCTTTAGAAATTTTCTCAGTGCTGCTGATTTTCTATGCTGCCAGGTAGTCAGACACTATTTAGTTTGTACAGGCTTGGTTTTGGGCGTTTCTAGTATTTTTAGTGAGAACATCATGCAGTAGTGAATGAACCTCACAGAGCCTTCTCTAGGACAGGCTTTGTGCCAGGAGAACCAGGCTGGGAGAGTCACTTTGCCCACACCCTCAGCAGTGATGTTTCTGCTGGCACAGGTATCGCCTTCTCACATTTAAACATGAATCAAAGTCAACAAAACCTTTCCCTGACCTAGATAAAGCTACAGCAGTGTTTTTGTCACGTGTGATCATGTCCTGCACAAGATGATTATGTTGGCAAATCTGTCAAGTACTTTCAATCTTTATGAACTGGATTTTGATTCACATAAAAACCCTAACCAGTCGACTTGATGAGATATATATTTCATAAACACCTGCTTAGACTTTATTAAACTTCTATTAAGTGAACTTATATATACAAATATTGTTAGTTCTCTGAGATCCACATTGTGTGTCTGAAACATCTCATTGGAGAAACTGGAAAATTTTTAATGTTCAAACCTATTCCTATCAGTGCTAATTGGGAAATATTCAACTAACTGCCTATATGATTCAAAGTAAAACCACAGTGGTATCTGCTGTTTGACTGCTATTTGTTTAAGAACTGTGGAAAAGTATTTCATCATCCTGCAATCTGCCTGCAACATTTGTCTTTTTCCCCAAGCACAGAATGGAAATATTTAACTACATCAATGTTTTCTCCCTCTCCACTGTCAGCTTCAAAAAAATCACATCATCTTGCAGCATTATTTTTAAGGTTCCTTCATTCTAATTGAAAAAAATATGAATATTCACAGCCACATTTCTACTACACCTCACTGCATGGACCACATGTCCACTGTCCTTCTGTCACTGTATCCTTTTGCCCTCCTTGCAGCATTAAAGGTCATTTATTTTTATATTTTTCTCCCACATTGGGTTTTATAAATATGCATAAACCCAACCATGCAGGCCTCAAGGAACACAAGTGGCTCTTCTGCAAGAACTGTGAATATCATAAAATCCCAGACCAACTGGAACTGATTCAGTTCTGAAATCCAGTTCCACCTGTTCCAAGGGCAAATACCATAGTTTGATTTGGACAAAAAATGCTCTTTGATTTCCTCATTGTGAAAGCTACAACCAAGCCTATGGACAGGGAATTGCCAGTACCCCATACCTGCATTCACACAAAGTTTACAGAATCACAGACAAAGTTGAGATTGGAAGGGACATTTAAACATCATCTGGTGCAACCCCCTGCCACAGGTAGGGACACCTTCCACTATTCCAGGTTGATCAGAGCTCCATCCAACCTGTCCTTGGACACATCCACAGGTGGGACATCCCCAACTTCCCTGCACAACCTGCTCTGGTACCTTACCCTGCTCACAGCAAAGAGAATCCTCCTAAAACCTAATCCAAACCTACACTCTCTTGGTTTGGAGCCATTCCTCCTTGTCCTGTCACTACATGCTCTTGTAAAAAATCCATCTCCATCTTT